GCCAAAACAGCCGCCAATCCGCCTCCAAAAGGCTAGGATCCCTCCTGGTGCAAGACCATCGGGGACAAGGAGGCCTGCGTGCGGTTTGCGGTCGGCAAGTGCACTAAGACCGACTGCAAGTTCGTGCACGGCTGCCCTGTTCCGCTTCCGAATGGCAAGGCGTGTGGTCAGCCGCACAGCTTCCTCTGCGAATCCTGCCCCTTTTGCCGCCTCCTCGCCTATGCCAGGAGAGGAGGTCTGTGCCTTTGGCTCCCCTCAACCCCCCCCTCCTCCTCTTAACCCCACCACTGCGGTGCCTGTTGCTCAGCCCCCCTGTCCGCCTCTGCCGTGCCAGGCTCCCTCAAAACCTGCAATTTTGTGTACGCCAGATCCGCAGTCCCCGCCAGGCAGTCGCACTGCTGTCGCTCAGCAGTCGCAGGGGCCCTCAGCCCCATGCTCCGCCCCCAAGATTCCTGCGGGCAGGTTTTTTCTGGATTTGTTTTCCGGCTCTTCCGCTCCTGTGTCCACTGCGCTGCAGGCCCTTGGCAAAGCTTGTTTCGAGCCAGTAGTCGCGCCCGGCACCTTCTGTGTCTGGTCGACTCCCGCGGGGGGCTGATTTGGGTCGAGAACCCATCCTCCTCCCTTCTTTCGCTGGACCCGGAGGTCGTTTCTTGGCTCAGGCTCCACTGTCCCTACATTGCGACCGTCGCAGGGTGCCATCATGGTCTCAATCAACACAAGGCCTGGTCCTTCTGTTCCAACTCCGCCGAGGTGTCGGGTCTCGCGTGTGTTTGTCCCCATCCTCTGGGCTTTCGCACCAAGATGTCTGGCAAGCGTCTTGCGGATGGGTCCTTTGCGACTCGTCTCTCGGCTTGCTACCCTCCATCTCTGGCGTCGGCTCTGGCAGCTTGCTGCCCCCTTCCTCTCTGATGCGATGCCGCTGCAACCTCATCCTTTGTCATCGTGGACGCAGCTCTTGCCATCTCGCTTGGTATGGCCCAGCCGCCCACATGGTGTCGAGGATGGTGCGGGCACGTGCAGCACTGCATCTCCTGCGCCGGTTCCTTCCGACCCCCTGTCTGCCTTGCGTACGACATGGTCCCAGCGACTGGGGGCTAGCCTCGCGCATCGCTGCTTCCCTCAACTCTGGGTCCAAGTCTCCCCCTCTCTCTGAGGAGGAAATTTCTCCGTTTTTGGATGATCTTCGCTCGTTTCTTCGGGTCTCTGACGACTCACCTGGCAACGCTTACTGCTGGTCCAGGAGGGTCAACCCTTTCGACTTAATCTCTGGCACTACCTTTCTCTGGTGTGTGCCGACCCGGACTCGGCTTATTTTGATCTCCTGCGTGCGGGAGTCCCACTTGGTGTCCCGGAACCCATTCCACAGTGTCCGGTTATGCCGTTATGCACCCTCCCCCGGCTCCGGACGCCACGGTCATTCCGCTTCAGCATTGTGATTCCGCCTGGAAATCTGCCATTGATCGCGCGGATGTGGTGGATGAGTTGCTCGAAGCCGAACTGGCTGAGGGTTGGATTGCTCTGGTTCCGGGTGGCGATTCCGAACTTCGCCGTCGCTACACATGTACAGCGGTCGGCAAACTAGGTGTTGTTTTAGCCGAAGGTCGTCCTCCGCGCCTGGTCGTTGATAGCTCCGTCTCCGGGGTTACGAGCAATACCGCTCTATCCAATCGGTCGGCCAACCCTACTTTGTCGGACGTTTTCTTCTGCATGCCTCTCTCCGACTCCACTGAGCGGTTGGTTGCTCTGATCCTGGACGTAGCCAAAGCACATCGTCAAATTCTCATTCGTGCGGCTGACCGTGGCCTTCTGTGCTTCCGTCACCGTGGGAAACTTTATCAGTGCATCACGCTCAACTTTGGCGCTCGGGTGTCATCTTTTTACTGGGCCCGCGCGGCCGGCCTCCTACTGCGGCTGATTCATCGCATTGTCCGCGTCCGCCATTCTGCCCAGATTTACGTCGATGACCTCTTGGCGCTCCTGGAAGCAGTTTCAGCCCCCTTGTGGGCCTCTCTGATTGTCGTCCTGCTTCTGGCGCTGCGCGTCCCCATGTCGTGGCATAAGGCCGCGCTCGGTCCTCGTGTCGTCTGGATCGGCTGGGAGTTCAATCTGTCACACTTCTGTGTCCGCCTCGACCCTGGCAAGTTCCAACGACTGTGCGCCCTGCTTCGCCAGGCTCTCCAATCCAAGCGCTGCTCCTGTCATTTGTTGGAGCGCATCACTGGGAAGCTGCTTTGGCTGTCGTCTCTTTTTCGCACCTTTCGCCCGTCTCTGGCTCCGCTGTATGCTGATCAGCATTCGCTGCTTCCCACTATGACGGCCCTGCAGCCGGAGCGTTGGCCTGATCTTTTGCAGGCCCTCTCTCCGGACCTGGTCCTGCAACGGTTGGTGGGCATTGCGGCTCTTCCGCCGGGCTCCCGCATCCTGCGCTTCAACCAGACTGCTGTCTCTTGTCGTGGCGATCTTCCGTCACAGGCTCCCGATGCTCGTCGCATCTGGCTTCAATCCTCTTCGCCGCATACAGGCATGTGTGTCCTGTCGGACTCTTCTCAGGAGGTCCTTCGGCTTTGGTTGGATCTCTGCCAGTCCGGCACTGCGGTTCGCTCCCTCTTGCGCCCGCCCCTGTTTGTGTGCGAGGCTTATGCGGATGCCTGTGCGGATGTCTGCTCCGCAGGTTTGGGCGGTTTTGTGCGGTTGCAGGATGGTCGCCAGCTCTTCTTCCGCCATTCCTTTAACCGGCTCGAGCTGCACAGGCTTTTTCCCTGGTTCCCTGCAGCTGCATCCGCTCAGTCTTTTATCGCCAGCTGGGAACTGCTGGCTCAGTGCGCCTTGGTACTTCTCCTGGATGCCCTTCTGGGCCCGGGGCACCTCCCGGTGCACTGCGTCTTTAAATGCGACAACTCTGCTGCCGACGCTGCGAGTTGGAAGGGTCTCTCCATGGCCCAAGGCCTCTGCTCGGTGCTGCGCTCCTTCCTGCTCTGCCAGCAGGCACGTCGCGTTTCTGTTTACATTGACCATGTCCCTGGTCTTTCTAACGACGTCGCAGATGCGTTAAGCCGCTCTGCAGACCCTACGTCTTTGGGTTTTGACCTATCCCAGGAATATGCTGTCGCTTGGGACCAGTTCCCGGCTTCTCCGGAGCTGTCCCTGTTTCCGAGTGCGGCTGACTTTTCTGGCTTCTTGTGTCCAGGTGGCTCTTCCTCCGCTTGAGTCTCCTTTTGGCTGGTCCCACGGCTGTGGTCAAGCTTTCGCTCGAGGCTTCCATTGGTTTTCCAGCCGGAGGAGAGAATGCGGTTCGCACTGCATCCGGCTCTGGTCCTGGTCTGTTTCCCGTTCTCCGACCAGGGCCACACGAGCCCGGAGCGCTTTTCGCCACCGGACAAAAAGATGCGTCCGGTCCTACTGCTGCCGTTCTGTAGAGATTCTAACTACGGTACGCGCACTAGCTTTTTTGGCATTTAAGGAAACGGACTGTGCACTCTGAACGGTACCGTGCTTGAACGGATGTGTTTGGTTGTGCACGCAACGGCCCCGCTGAAGCCATCCGGTTCGAGCGGGGGAGCCGTTTCCGCCGCAGAAATTTTCTGTACCCGCCACCGTCCCCTTTCTGCCTCCTACCCATTCTTCTCCTCTGGCTCCCCTGGATTTGGGGATGGTTTTCCAGCCGGAGGAGAGAATGCGGTTCGCACTGCATCCGGCTCTGGTCCTGGTCTGTTTCCCGTTCTCCGACGCGCTTTTCGCCACCGGACAAAAAGATGCGTCCGGTCCTACTGCTGCCGTTCTGTAGAGATTCTAACTACGGTACGCGCACTAGCCTTTTTGGCATTTAAGGAAACGGACTGTGCACTCTGAACAGTTCGGGTTTGGAGAGTTCTTGCGGAGGCCAAGCGGCTTGTCGAGCAGATCAAGGCTGAAACGCAGAGCACGCTGCCCGATGCCTAGAGTGTCGAAGTGAGATAGAAGACTCAAGGTAAGATGTTGTAATGGTACATTGTAGCATAGTTCGCGGGAGGGCTGTCGTGGATGATGTTTGAGCGGCATCTAGCCGCTTCGGCATGCAAGCGCGACTGTTTGCAGCAGAGGTCGTGAATAGAGACGATTGGTTCTACAAGTCAGGGCTCCTTTCAGAAGGGTGCCGTACTATTTTTGGGCACCGAAAAGGCCATGCAGAGAGCTGCCCAGAAGGTGTAACAGTGTATGCTTCTGCTTTCTCATTGTCTTCACAGCGACCAGATGCTGAGCCATGGAGGCCATTCCTCACCTGCGAATCCCGACCCATCACGTACGAGGTCGAATGGGATCAGTTCTGCAGTTCATAGCAGTTGCAGCTGTGTCATGGCTCTTGAGCCACTGTACAACACTCAGCGCAGTATGCCGCCGCACAATGCTTGCGTCGACCAACGGTCGACTGCAATCCATGCTCTTCGCTGTCCTGAATTGATTGATGGCCCTCTTGCCACCAAGCCTTGGAGAGGTTTCGGGATTTCGGGCTGTTTACACTCAACACTTCTTCGAGCATAGCCACGCACCAGTTTGGTTTGTCGATCTGTGACGGCACCCAGCGTTCCCCTCCATTTGTGAGTAGTGCAGGGTCGGCTTTGCCATCCCACCCTCAGTTGTCGGGATCCATCCAGTTAGACATTCGCCATGCTGCTAAAGGTGCGCAAGGTTTTATCGGCTTTGAACAAGTTGAGAAGCCTAGCTCGTTTCAATGAGTTTGTAGGTATGGTGATTGTCCAATTAGCTTTTTGGGTTTACGGGGGGTATCGGCATATTTACCGAGTCCCGCGATCCTCCGGGAGGAAAGCCAGAACTTGCGCCTGATATATCCTGATATGTGTGGGCTTGCAAGCAACGGCTCTTCTGCACTCAAGGGAACAGACAGACGATTGCAAAGGAGTTGCCTTTGATCTGCGCAGCTACACCGAACACTGAGACTCTGTCACAAGGGAGTTGTCTTGGAGCTATGCAGACAAACAGCTAAGTTGGGACTTTTTCGTCGAATGTGGAAAATCGCTCGAGCTCTTCGAAATGGCTCACCTTTTGCTGCAGCCATTTTTCAATTCCTAGCTACTGAACCTATTCGCGCCAATTTTCGCCTGACCATGGCACGATCCATCTGGCTAGGAATCTACCTGGCTTGCGCGTGGGCGGAGGAGAAGGATGCTCGGTTTCGAGAAATGATTTGTTTTGACTGGGATTCTCATGCAGTTTTGCTGAGTTGCTAGTAGCAACCAAGGATGCATCATGCATGCTGCAACAGCACGGCTCAGCGCAACGAAGCACCAAGCCGGCTTTTTTGGAAGGCCGCTCGTCACTGGCAGAGCTTCCGAGCAGTGCCACCTGCAAGAAGAAGTTCACCGACGACAAGGTTTGCAAGACCTCGAGCGGTGTAGATTGCACCTTTGAGGAGTGGGGCATGAATGAAGCCAAGTGCTGGTTCTCGGAAACGCAGGGGAAGAACCCGTGCAAGCGACAGCCAGTCGCGGGAACGTGGACCACGGCCAAGGTTGACTTCGGCCATGGAGCTGGGGAGTGCTTCTACGTCCCAACAGGCATCTGCCCCCTGCAGCTTCTGGGCCACGGACTGTGAACACATGTTTTGCTGTCTTGGAAGATTGGGGAAAGCGGGGCTTGTTTCGCTACATGTTGCACGGGGCATCTTAGGGTCTGCGTCAAGAGCGGGAGCCCCAATAGTGCGGCTGGTCGAGCTTGCTACTCTGGGAAGCAAACATGTGGGTCCGACGATTATAGTCCATCAAATGGCAAGGCAGGGGGGTGCATGCAGCGCTACCCTATCAAGAGGGTGAGATCCACTGTTACGTTCAGCCCCCAGTCTTCACCTTGATATACCATCTGAATTTAAGTACACTTCCGAACTAATCCCTAGCGGGTCGTACTATCCTCGGCAGAACTGGGCACTCCCCAACATGAGAAGCATCTCCCAGGTGGACGAGACGTTTTGCACGAAGTGGACCGCTCCGGACATCTTCTGTGTGGTGAGTCTTGCAACCAACGCAAACAACCCAAACAACATCCGAGATCTGAGCAACTTTGCCATTCAGTTCGGCTGCTGCGATGGGAGTCTTAGCTTTAGATTCGTCGGGACCACTGAACCCTAGACATCCCCAGACTTTTGGCAAAGTAGTCCTGCGGGCCCATGCTGCTTTCCGCCACACAGGAATGGAGGTGTAGTGGGAGATCCGCACATCCATACCTTGGACGGAAACGAGTTCGACCTCTACGACAAAGGAACTTATTCGGTGTTCCACTACGGCGGTACCGGTGTCTCAGTTGCTCGAGAAGGCTGCTTTTTCTCATGTTCGGTCTCAGCCGGAGCGTGGCCCGATTGCGGGGTTATTCGGTGTTCTCGATGATGCATCCCACACTTTAGATAGAAGCTCTGCACCCTGAACCGATCATGGGAGCTAGACATGCTCGAAGTGCAACAGGCAGCAGCCTCAATTCCCAAGGTGACGTCGATTGGCAACTCTACGCAACGTATGGAGGCCCGTCGCGAAAAGGAAAATTCCCATAAGTTGTAACTGGTCCCAAGCTCTATGGTCCCTGCAATCACGCGCCCGCCCACCGGAATCCTCCAATTTTCACGCCTCGTTGCAGAAATTCCCGAGGTCCGCTGTGGACAGTCCAAGGCTTGCTGTTGGTGGATAGATCCAAAGGTCGCTTCCGACAGGCAGGAAGGGTCAGGCAGTCTTAGGGAGGGTCTGAGGAGTTCGTGGTCGGAGTATGAGGCAGGGATATCCCTTGAGGCTATGGAGCTGACGTCAGAGGACTGCCAGTGGCGCAGCAAGACAGGGCATAGGTCGTGGTCAGTCATCGAGCGAAATGCACCTTGACCACGAAGTAGCATGTGAAAGCCGCTTCGGAACTACTACACTTCAAGCAACCCCTGAAACATAAACCGCTGCATGCAGCTGCTCAAGCAAAAAATGAGGCATCGCTGTCTTGCTGGAGGGGGGCGAGTACGTGACGGGCTTCGAGTATGTCAACGAAAAGCACGTCAACCTTGGCATCAACACCCCTCACGGCAAGAAAGAAGTTCTTGTCCTCAACACGGTGTGCATGAGTCTGGAGTGTAGTTTGGAATCAGTCTTGATTTTCTTTCAGTTCTTCTGAACAGGAACCAAGCCTCTTGTACAGCCCGTGACGAAGTTTCTGTAGGACGAGTTGTTTCATCAAGCTTCAGAAAGAACACCTTCACCTCAACATGAGCACTGTTCTGTGCTGTATTTGAACAGCACGAAGTGGAAAGATCGGCCTTAAGCCTACCTCAGGAGCGGTGCTATCAACTTGCGGGTCTCCCCGCACAAGGCCTTCGAAGCCAAGCTCTTGACGGGCCAAATCCAAGCCGGCAACGCCAAAAGCCAGGACGGATCCTTTGGCCGGCCTGCATCCCACTTTTTAAAGCTTTTGGAAGACATGTTTAGAATTCCGTGTGCTGTGAAAGAGAAGAATGTGCTGCGGGCATCTGCAGGAGAGGTTCCCAGTGGAGGAGAGTTGGCAAGCGCTAGGTGGGCACTTGCAAGATGACGTTGGCTCAAACAGTGGCCCACATGCCAGGATCCGATTCTGTCCTTGGGCACCCCTTCTTCACCCCCCAAGACAGGTGGGAGCGACGGCGCCGCATCCTTCCTGAAGAAGAACCAAGAGGAGAGTTGACTTATCTGCCCTGTCATGGTGCAAGCCTTAAAGCCCGGGAGGAGAAGCACCTGCTTGTGACGTCCTGCACCGGAGACGCCAAGACGAAAGCCGAGGACACCTGCGCGGAATATCTCGGCGAGGAGCCTCCCCCGAGCCATTTTTCTGCGCAGTGGGTGAGGGCATCAGTACTTAGTAATTTCGAAAGAAATTCCACGCTTGACAAGTGTTGCAAGACAGATGTGCATCACCTGCATTCGGATGTTCCGCATATGAAAGCATTGCATACCGAAGCCCTCAATTGCTCTGAGAAAAGAAGTGCATGGTAGCGGAGCACTTCGGTGCTCCAGGGCCTGCTACTCTCGTAATCCCGAGGCTCGTGAGGACCCTCCTGTTTCACTCAATAGTCTTCTGCTCTGTCACTGCCATTTGCTTGGCTGACATTTTCTCTCAAGTCACTGCGGTTCACTCTGCTGACTTTCTTCTTTTATTTGGCGGTTGCATCAGTGCGTGTGGGCCTGGTGAGCCAGCCGGAGTGCCTCTTTATTTTGGTGGTGGCCTCAGTGCTTGCGGGCCTGGAGAGCCATCCGGAGCGGAGTTTTCTTTCTGGCTCAGTGCGTGTGAGGAGCTGGGTTTTGGGTGCAGTAGAGCAGAACAGAAAGTTTTTGGTTTGTGTGGAGAAGCTGCCTGGAGGTTTCCACTTCTGGGGGCTGTGAGGAAAGCCCAATACGCTATGTCGGGGACTGTGCCAGCAGCGCAGCCAGGAGGAGGAGCAGCGAGCTCAGTGGGACAAGATGTGCAGGAGCGCATAGATGCCATTGTGAAGCAGCGCCTGGAGCAGGCGTTCGGAAGTGTGTTTGGGAAAGTGCTGACCGCTACTGAGCGGGCAGCCGTAGCAGCGGAGAAGCAAGCGGATGCATCGAAGGTGGAGGGCATTACGAAGGCCCTGCGAGTGGATGTGTGGAAGCCAGCCAACCGTGAGGAAGAACTTCGTGGCTGGCGTGAGTGGATGTTCCAGCTTCGGACCTGGCTTGCCGCTCATGATGAGCGGTTTGAGAATGACATTGAGGGTCTCGATGATGACAAGGAGGTGGACCACGCCCTCATTGATGATGACCAGGTCCGCCGCAGCCAGAAGTTGTTTGGAGTGTTGTGCAGCCTGCTGCGCAACCGGCCTCTTTTGCTGGTGCGTGGCTTTGAGAAGGACAGAAACGGCTTGGAGGCCTTGCGCACCCTGCGCAAGGAGATGGAGCCAAAGGAGCGGTCCCGCTCTTTGGCCATCGTCAAGCAACTTGCCACCTGGACATTCAAAGACGGCGGGCTGCATGAGCAGCTCATTGCTTTCGAAGATGCCATCAAGAATTACGAAACCAGCTCAGGAAACACTTACCCTGAGGACCTCATGATTGCCACGGTGACCACGGGCTTGAAGGAGCCTCTGAGGAGCCAGGTGCAGTTGAGAATGAGTTCTTCTACGAAGTACCGTGACATACGCGAGTGGGTGCTCCAATGGGAATCGGTCAATGCCCCTTGGTCTTCATCTTTGCCGGCGGCCCGCGGAAGCAAGCCTGACAGTGGCGGCCCACAGCCGATGGATGTCGATGTCATCAAGGGCAAGAAGGGCAAGGACAAAGGAAAGAAAGGCAAGGGCAAGGGCAAAGATGGAAAACCCAGTGGCAAGGGCAAGCAGGACTGGAACCAGAATGCTGGATGGCAAAGCAATGCTTGGCACGGCGGGTGGCAAAACAATGCGTGGAACAATGGTGGCTGGAACCAGGACAAAGGCGGAGGAAAGAACCAGCCGAAGGGCAAAGGAAAGAGCAAAGGCCAAGGTCATGGGAAGCAAGGCTCATGCCACATATGCGGCCAAACTGGCCACTGGAAGAATGAATGCCCTAAGGGAAAGGGCAAAACGGTGCGCCAGGTTGAAGTTGAGGCTGTCCCTTCCTCAGGGCAGTCGGTGGCATCAGCCACCACGGCAGCCACCAGTGCCACAGCGTATCGGACACCGAGCGTGGTGCAGCGCATTGCTCTTTCGACGCCACCGCAGTGCCGTGAGACCTTTATCTTCGACATGGCCGAGGAGTTCGAGGAGTTCGAGCTCGAGGGGGGTGCCATCAACATGATTCAGATTGCCGGTGTTGCTGTGGGAATTGCGGCCCATGAGTTTCCGGAGGTTCCCCACTTTGCCATGGACGCGACCGATGACGATGAAGAGTGGACTGTGTGCCCGGAGCTGTGCTATGATGAGCCGGAGAGAGAGCATGTGGCAGTGATCAACATGGTGCGGGCAACAGCCACAGCCCAGCATACAAGCAAAGCTGTCGATGTTGTGGTGGATTCTGGGGCTGATGTGTCAGTGGCCCCACTTGAGTTCCGAAGCCTGGGCCGGTCAAGCCCCAACAGCAACGTCTTGATGCAGGACGCCCAGGGGAAGCAGATTGTGAACCATGGGTCTCGAGCGCTTGTGGTCGAGGTTAAGGACATCAATGGCGAGACGGCGGTCATCAAGGAGCGTTTCTTGCTTGCCGAAGTGAGCTCTTTGATAATATCTATGGGGCGCTTGCTGAGAAATGGATGGTGCCTGGGCCATGTGAATTCAGGTCCTGTGATCTCCCGAGATGGTTGTGTTTTGCCAGTTCGGCTCCGTCGGAACACGCTTGTGATGTCGGCCATTGTCTCAGCCATTGCCGTGCTAGACAGTGGGCCTTTGCCTCCTCCTGCTGAAGATGTTTGTGGAGTTCCTGGGTGGCACGTGCTTCCTTCCGGCCTTCCTTTTCTTGTGCACCACCACACCTTGGAGGTGCCATTTGAATCCTGGCTGTGGTCCACCGAGGACTGGACTCATGTTGCTGTGTTTGTGCGCAAGGAAGCTGCCACTCGAGGACCCCAGCCCGGTGATGTTTGGATTCAGGTGCTCAGTACCACGACCGAGGCCTTCGAGAACATGCCAAAGAGGTTGGATGCTTTGGAGGCCGAGCTCACGGGGTACCATGACGTTGCAGTCCTCTTGCATGTCGTCGAGATGGAAAAGAACCTCTTGAGCAACCCCAGCGACTACTTTGAGGAGGAAACTTGGGAGGATGCGCCGATGCTTCCTAATGAACCCCAGGATGCTGAAGAAGATGAGGCAGATGACGGCCGTGGCGTTGGTGATGTGCTTGCCGAAGGTCGTGCACCGCGGGGTCAGGAAGCTGACGATGATGGACTTGAACTTGATGGTGTGCAGCTTTCGGTTGGAACGCCACTTAGGGAGCTCAAAGCCTTGTGCCAGCGCCTTGGGCTGGCAAAGAGTGGGGGAAAGGCTAAGGTGCTGAGGCGCCTTAAGGAGCACCGGGATGTGATGGAGCGGCAAATGGCAACCCAGATTGCCCAGCAGTTGTTCCGTGAAGGAGACCGTGACCCTCAGCCATTCAAAGTGCCAGTCCTTCCCAGCAGGCGCCAACAGGAATTGCATGAGATTACCCATCAGCCTTTCCAACCTTGGTGCCAAGCTTGCCTGATGGGTCGTAGCCGCCAGTCTCCTCACCGTGACCAAGAGCCTGCTGAGTCTGATGCTGGCCCTCGTGACGCACGGCCGCTTATGCAGATCGACTATTGCTTCACCTTTACGGATTCAAAGCAGATGATTCAGGATGAGCAGGCCGGTGAGATTGATGAGCCGGTGGCCGGGGACAGTGCAGAGGAGAAGGACGAGGCAGAGAAAGCTGAGAAGCCAAACTACATGGACCAGTTCGGGCTAAATTTGGTGGCTGCTGAGTCGTCGAGTGGATGGGTGGCTGCTCTGCCACTCCTTGCCAAAGGTGCAGTGTCACTCAAGAAGACCACGGAGACCCTCACCCGTCTCAGCATGCAACTTGCAGGTACCAATGAGATCATCCTGCAGGGCGACCCAGAGCCATCTGTGCGCCAGGTTCTGAACAGCGTCCAGGCTTGTCGCACAAAGCTTGGCTTGAAGACGACTGTGAGGGAGGCCCCCAGAGGTTCCCATTCATCCAATGGCTTAGCCGAGAAGGGAGTGAGCACGATTCGGAGATTTGGCCTGACTTTGAAAGCTCACCTTGAGGAGAGGATCCAGGCCAAGCTGGGTGGACATGTTCCTTTGTTCTCCTGGTTGCTCCAGCACGCCAGCTTCTTGCACAACCGCTACTTTGTGGGACATAAGGGCTTACCAGCCTGGGAGGTTGTGCACGGCCGCCGCTTCTCACAAAGACTCCTACCTTTCGGTGAAGTGTGTCTCTTCTACCTCGGGAGCAAGTTCAAAGGAGATCTTCAATGGCAAAAGGGGGTGTTTGCAGGAGTGAACGAGCGGCGCGGAACTTATGTTCTTCTCACGCCCGATGGTGCCAAGGAGAGCCGTTCGCTTAGAAGACTTCCCCGCGAGGATGCCTACCCGGCCGATTTTATCCTCACGGCCAAGGGCTTGCCATGGGATGCTCAGGGCAAGACCAAGCGGCAAAGGCCGCTGTACACAGCAAGACCGGGACTCCTTCCCGACAGTGCTACGCTTGAGGAGCTTGCCAAGGCTGCAGGCCGCGCTGCAGCCGAGAGCATAGCAGCGCAAACCCCACGGCTTGGTGATGAAGCTGCGAGTGATCCTGAAAGCTCTTCATCGCCTTCCTCTTCTACTACCAGTGCAAACAGCCCAGCAAGAGCAGCAGCCCCAGCAAGCAGCGAGCCCAACAGAGAAGCAGGAACAGCCGCAGAAGAGCCCAACAGAGGAACAGGAACAGCCACAGAAGAGCCCAACAGAGGAGCAGGAACAGCCGCAGAAGAGCCCAACAGAGAAGTCGTGAGTGGAGCCAGCCGTGACAGCATGGTCGTTGACAGTGAGTCGCAGCGTGCAGGTCCACAGGAGTCGGTTCCCAAGCGTCCTAGGTTGTTGCTAGACAAGCCACCAAGTGGGTCTCCTTCAGCAAGCTCGTCGCTGTTTCCACCAACCTTTGCAGGCATCAGGGAGATCCAGAGAACCCATGGAGATATCCCTTTGGAGGAGCTCACTGGGTGCGATGATTGGCTTGATGATGTGGTTCCCGTGTTGGACCAGGAGCCGGAGGAGGACGGTTGGGAGGATGATAGGCCTCCTGATGTGTCGCCAGATGAGTTGGCAAAGCTGGACCTCGCTGCAGACAAAGCCGAGGTCGAGAGGTTGGTCGCCATGGGTGTCATGCGACCTCCTTCCGAAAACGACGACCTGGCCAACTACTCAGTCCTGACAACTAAAGTCGTCAGGGATTGGCGGCGACGTCCCAATTGGGTCAGACGCTCACGACTAGTGGGCCGTGAGTTCAAAGCCTGGACCCCTTGGAGCCAGGACTTGTTTGCCCCAGCCAGCACATTGGCCACAGTGCACGGGCTGATGAGTCTCGCCCAGGCCTACGACCTGGAACTGGTGACGCTAGATGTGAAAGATGCGTATCTTAATGTGAAGCAGAAGAAGCCGGTGATCATCTATGTGGACGCGAGACTGTTCGATGAGGGCCAAGGCGAGGAGCGGATGATCCCCTACATTCTCGAGTATCTCCTCCCTGGTCAGAGAGCCGCAGCCAGCGAATGGTTTCAGTACTTCACGGGGCTCCTGGGGCAGGCGGGGATGGAAAGCTTCGGGAAAGAGCCTACCCTCTTTCGCAACAAGGAGGCACAAGCTCCACTCTCAGGACTTGTGCTGCATGCCGATGATGGTCTTCTCGCTAGCAAGAAGGAGTTTCGTGAAAAGTTGGTTGGCGAGTTGAGTCAGCATGTCACCGTGCAAGTGAGTGAGCCTTTGAAGTCTATTGGCTCTGAGCTGAGCTTCCTCAAGAGGAGCTACAGCATGCATGAGGATGGCATCCACATGCACTCCGGGCGAAGGCATGTTGAGGGCCTTCTTGAAGCACTCGAGCCCGGTGTGAAGCTTAAGGATGCTCCAACGGATGCCTCCTTTCTTGAAGTCGACAACAGCCCGGAGCTCAAGGCCGATCGGGCAAAGCTGTTCCGTGAATGCATTGGACGCCTCCTCTACCTCAGCCACTCCCGTGCCGATATACAGTTTGGCGTGTGTATCTTGGCGAGCAAGATGGCGAAACCCACAATGGTTGGGTGGAAGCAACTCTATCGTCTCGTGGGCTACTTGAAGAAAGTGCCTTGCCTGGGATTCAGAATTGGGCCAGCTACCGAAGGAGCATGCCTTGATTTTCCCGAAGGGTCGCCAACATCGGGGAAAATTATCCTTGAGTCAGTGAGTGATGCTGACTGGGCAGGCTGTCGGCAGACTCGCCGCAGCCGATCCTCAGTCCACTTCTACCTGGCGGGATCCCTCATCGGGAGTTACGTGCGCAGCCAGCGGACAGTGGCAATGAGCTCAGGGGAATCGGAATTCCTGGCCATGATCAGCGGTGCATGTGAGACGGTCTACCTCAAGGACTGTTTCGAGTACCTGCTGCGAGGCATCACCGAGTTGGAGGCAGTGCTGAGATCCGACTCAGCAGCAGCAAGAGGAGTGAGCCAGCGAGTCGGATGTGGACGCGTCCGGCACCTCTCTTGTGCCAACCTTTGGGTACAAGCAGCAGTGAAGTCCCAAGTCTTGAAGATTGGTCCCATCTCTGGAAAGAGGAATCCCTCTGATCTGGGAACGAAGCCACTCACAGGACCCAAGCTTCGTGAACTGCTCTTCAGGGCTGGCGCGGTCACAGAGAGTGGTGATCGTTATGGTGCCGAAGAAGCAGATCTCGCAGACCAGCGCGACAACGTGAACCGCATCATGAAGAGCAGTGGGTTGTCATCTACCGGAGCAAAGAAGTTTTTGCCTGTTTTGTTGATCCTCGCGCAGGCCATGACGGTAGAGGGTTATGAGGGCTTGAGCTTGGTTGCGGCAGCCGGGTTTGCCGAGGACACGATGGCACAGATGATTTCAGCAGTAGCCATTTTGGTTGCAACAGTTTTGGTGGTGTGTGGCGGGCCATGGGCTGCATTTTGCGGTCTGAAGTGGTTGCTCGGATGGAGCAGCACTGGGAAGCAAGCCGCCACGACAACATGTGAGGTCGGTGTGCAAGCGAACCTGGGCATGAGCAAAGCAGAGCAAAAGTTTGTAGACGAGTACGTTGACAGGGCCACTTTCCTCAGAAGCTCTCTCTCAGAGGAACACAGAACAGTGCTCCAGTGTGAAGAGGCCCTAGTTGAAGTTCGCGAGGAGAATCGCCGTCTGCAAGCTGAGCTGACCAGAGCTCGAGCGCAAGGTGCAGGCCGAATTGCATTGTCCACGAATCGTGGGCGAGTGTATCATGTGCCTGGTTGCCATGCCCTGCGTAACAGTAACAGTGTACGTATGTTTGAAGCATGCCAGTTTTGTGTTGGAAACCGTTGAACTGCAGGTGTCTTGGACGGCTAGGCGTTTAAATGTAAAGACCTAGCCGAGGCGGGGTGCAAGACAGATGTGCATCACCTGCATTCGGATGTTCCGCATATGAAAGCATTGCATACCGAAGCCCTCAATTGCTCTGAGAAAAGAAGTGCAAGTGTTTAGGCGCATTCTTGTTTGTGTGATCTGACGAGGTCATCGTCTAGAGCCCCATACGGTTACTGCGATGCGCTTGCGGCGCTTGCCCACCCTGCTCCTGCTGAGTGAGGGGGAGATCATAAGCTAACATGGAGATTGAGCCATTCCGCATAGAATCCTCTGATGGCCCCAAGCACTCACATGCTGTACCACAATTGCCCCTGGCCGCAAACAAGTGCGTTGTACGGTTAGTTAGGCCTTTGCGGTACCTAACGCGGAGGCTAACGCCCCTCAACAGCGAATCTGGAGTTTATGGTCAATGTTATCCGCAGCCCATGCCATGTGGATAGGAGACGCGGGAGTCCGGGAGTTTCTTCGACGATTGCGTCTTCGATGTCTGCCGAGGAGGGGAGTCATTCGCAAAGGCAGCGGCCGAACTGCACTCACTCATCTAGTTGCAGCGGTTCAGCCCCCTGGCATCCAGGGAAGTTTTTGGTCCTAGGCTGAAAAAGTCAGTCTGGACGATTTATGGCACGCGGCACTCCTCCAAGGGGAATCCCTGTTCGCATGCAATTGTTTAGACGATGCTGCGCTGTACCTTTTAAAGCAGGTCTTGCAAAAAGTCTCCGAAGCAGATTTCGTGCTTTGAAGAAGAGCTCGCAGCCTCGAAACTCTGAACAAGGGATGCTGTCCTCATAATGCCCTGAAGGCGGAAGAGGCCAGCCCCGTGATCATGAGGTCGCTGCCCCCCAGGCACAGCTCGGAGAGCCGGGTTCAAGAAGTTGGAATGCTTTGCAGCCTGGGGAAATGTAGGAACCTGATTAAGAAGCCTTGGGCCTGTATTAGGTTTCCTTTTTTGAATCCGACTATTTTTGGGGGTTATAGGCCCAGGGTTTCTTAATCAGGTTCCTACATTATGGGTGTTCTTGCGGGAAGCCCTTAGGGTTTTCAAGGCGCTTTTGCTCCAATGTGCTTAGTGCTTCGAGGATTTGCCGAAGCACGAGGGGATGATTGTCAGATGAGTAAAGCAAGTGAGACATAGGCTCGAACGATTCAGTCCTGAAGGGGCCACACGCTTCCAATTGATGCGTGCTTCAACAATCAATGGGGGTTGCAGTGTCGGTTCGGTCGTTGCGTTTGCGCTGGACCCACTGGACCTGCGCGAATTCTAAATGCCCTGGACCCCTAAACCCTGAACCCTAAACCGTGACTGCGGAATCCGGAATCCCTGACTCGCAGGTTTGAGACCTTCGCACGGCCAGCGCAGGACCTCTGAGTACTCGAAAGCCACGCGAACCCAGCCTACTGTAGGGGCTTAAATAATTACCTGTAGTATTTTTGGGCTTCCTTGTTATGAGTATAGTTTACTGGACCCCAAAACCCTAATTATTCTAATTGTTAATGCCCCTCTTTTACAGCCATCGCATGCCATCGCCTCTTCTAGGAGCGACGGCGACAAAAGGACGCTTCCGGGGTCCCCGCTCTCTGCGGCCTGGAAGCTTCCTGGTGTCTTGGCTTCCCGGGTTCCTCTTGGCTTGGCTTCGGGGCTCGTAAAGGGCTCCTTTAAGGGTACCATAAACGGTTCTAGAGTTTTGAGTTTAAGGGTACCATAAGGGTTCCAGACTTTCGAGTTTAAGGGTATGGGCCTGACTGGCCCTTCCTGTCAGCTTTCTGGCAGTGTACTACTATTGGGTTGCACAATCATTTGGTGTTGTGGTGGTGCGACAGGGATGTAGCGAAAGGGCTGACACGGCTCGTGAATCTTGGCGTGTATCAGACGGGGGACTGACTGGGACAAGTTGCGATAGTCGCTTGCAGATGCTTCTGAATCTTCTAACCGACGCAGCAAAGCAAAGGTATCGTACCGGACACAGCATCAATGCAATGCAGCGGCTGCATGCAAGTCAGTCGTTCATCTCTTGCTGCCATGCGCTGCGAGGCTTTGGGGGAGGTGTGAGAGATGATAGGAGTGTCCCACCCGTCGACTCAAAGAAGTCGACTCCAAGATTGAAAAAGAGTACCAAAAGCATGTTTCACTTTGTCTATAGCCTGATGCGAGTGGTCACTTGGCAGAAGGGAGTCGCAGGTAGGCGGTCATGGATGTATGCAGCAGCAGTCCGGGTCACTGCGACATGACATAGTTTCTACTTGAGACCCCTTGAGCCGAAGCACAGTCGCAGACCACCTCGCGCTTTCACTCTGGACCTGCCACAGGGCGGAAGGCAAGCTACGCGCCGTGGGGACCCATGCTTAGAGCCTGGGTTTCAGCGTTAAAGTAGCCATGTGGGTTGTGGGACTGCATTTTCAGCCTTGTGGCAGCTTCCGGATGTACATTACAGCCTCACTTTGTGGGTGGTGCCATTGCCAGGGTGTCGAGGAGGAAAGGGAGAAAGGGACGTGTTCTGCTCCGGAATCCCGGGAGCCAGGAGCTGAAAGGGCACCGCTTTCGCCCTGAGTCGGCCATGCTAGCCTGAAAACACAGCCACTTTAGGCTCGAGACATCGAGGATGAGCATCCCCAACTCTAGTCGGTGATGCAGGTGTTGTGCTGCTTCGATTCAAGTAGATCGCAGCTGTAATGCCAGCTATTTCTGGCAAGCCAACCCTGAGCGCCTCTGTACGGCATTGCACGCAGTAGGCTCCCGAAACAGTATTATGGGTGCTAAGCGGCATGGCCGGTGACGATGACGACGACGTGCTGTTCTCGTTCAGCTCCTGGGCATCTCGTCCTGACTGGTCCAAGGCAGCCAAGGGCCAAGGGCACTTATCAGGTGCGCTTTAACAGTGCTCTGACATCTTGTGACCGTCTTCTCCGTGGTGTTTGATGCTTCGGAGACATGTCGTGTAAGCAAAGAGCTCTTTCGCCGGTCCACGAGGATGTTTGGCACCAGGTGGCAGTCGCAAGCCCGCAGAAGGAGCGACGGTGATGTCCAGTGTCGGCGAGCAGATCCAGTCATACGGGAGTTTCAGAAGATTAGGGGCACCTTATTTTGGGGTCCGTATAATAAGGATCCTACAGTTTAGCGTGCTATATGATTAGGGTCCTCTATTTTCGGAAACTCCAATATGTGTTTGTTTGTCTGTGCGAGGAGATGATGAGCAATAGCCCACTCTTACGCCCCGGAGTCCGTTGTGGTGCACTTCAGGCCGTGGGAATCTGGCTGTCTACTACATGTACACCCAGCAGCTCGAAAGTCACACTGGAGAGACCACGGGTCTGAGTTCACACGTTCCGTGCAAAAGCAGCCCACAAGGAGTATCAAAATCTATTCCGGGCCGTCAGATGACTATCAAACTCGATTTCGTGCGTCTTTTGAGAAAAGCAACACGTACATGCCCACGCACTTACCAGCCAACGCTCCCTGTCAGGCTCACCCTCAGCCTTGCCCTTTCCTTCACCCAAACTGACCCTCACTCTAATCCTGATTCTCACCCTCACCGAGACTATTACCCTCAGCTCTCACCCTCACCCTCACTCTCACCACCGCCCTGACTCTCACTCTGCGCTCACCCTCACTTTGACTCTTTAAAAAAGACTCTAAGCCTCGCGATCACTCGCACTGTCAACCTGACCGTGAGCAATCAATTCAGAGGTGCATCTTGGAAGACTTGAGAGGCACTTTCCAAGCTCTGCCGCATCTTGATCTTAGTCTTGTCCTTTCCCTTTCACCTTATGTCCAGTCTCTGTTGTCTAGCGTCCCATCTGCTCCCCTTCGATTTCAGAGCATGCTTTCCTATGAGATCCCTTGGCGCATTGAATCGATTCATCCGTCCTCCTGTAGATTGACTGGCTTTATCTCGGTGGTCATCGTCGTTTCAAGCCGTCGTGTCGGCATCTGGCAGTTTCATGCCATTGTCTGCTGCTCTCGCCCCAACATCTCGTTTTGACAGTGACAACAGCTGGGAGTCGTCAGATCTGGATCATGCCGGTTGTCTTCAATTTCTCTGAGTTTCGGGTTCCGAGCTGGAGGTCAGCCGCTGGCGTCAGTCCCTGCTTTCCGCAAAGCCCTGCGACCACTTTGCCGCTCGCAGCGCAGCCGTGGCAGTGCTGAGGGCGCTGGACCAGGGGTGGGAGGCTTGAAGGATGGGTCGTCTGCGATGCACGCATTCCAGCCTGATTCCATCCACAGTGGTTTTTGCGAACTTGTGAGATGGATTTTCGTGCCTGACGGTAGTGGTGCAGGGGCAGGGGTTTTTCACTGGCATGGCGTGGGTCTGAGTCATGGGTGTGGATATAGGCGGGGCAAAAGTTTTGACTCCAGCCAGGACGAGCCAAAGATGTGGCCAGCGCAGCACGGCAAGGAGCGGCGCCACTTCCCGTTGTCCCTGTGCATGAGACATCTTTGCTTGGCCTGCAAATGCTTCGACCCGCTTCTGGTTCTGACAGTCGGAGCCCGTGAGCAGGAGGGCGGGGAATCGCAGGCCAGGAATCTGAGGCCAGAAGTGCTCTGCGCATCTGGTCGGAAGGTTCCTTGTTGAGTTTTTCAGTGCGAGAAACACGCATTGAAGCTCCCGAAGGCACGACCCGCTTCGGGGCTGCCAGGCGGGTCCGAAGTGGGGCTTTGGGGGGAGCGGGAGTTTTACTTTTGCTCTTGGGGTCTTGGGGTCTTAGGGTCTTACGGGGGTGTTAATCGATGGTATCGTCAGGACTGTGAGTCTATCTTTTCTCAAGGAAGATGCGCAGTTTGAAGACAAGGGAGCCTTAATAACAGCGAGTTCTGGCCGTGCGATGCTCGCGGCCAGGAGAGCTCGAAGGACTGCAGCGCGGAGCTCCGAGAGCTACAAGAAGGAGGCGTTTTGGGCATGTCGGGAAGAGATGTTTTGGGGTGTCCTTAGTCCTCAAGCACGGAGGGGACCAATAAGAGGAATTCACTTTAAGTCAACTATAATCCATCAAATCGTGAGACTTGTCCAAGCACTGCAGCCTGCGCAGTGCCAGAACACGTGAGTGTGCCAGGTGAGGATGCGGGAATTCCTCCTTGCTTGGGCGAGGATGCCTTGGACCTCGAGGATTCAATCTGCTGTGTGTCCCTTGTCTTGCAAAGCCCCAGGCTCTGCCAACGTCGCTTCGCACTTCCTTCGTGTTGCTTCTTTCCATCTTTGAACCTTTCGCCCCCCATCGCAGAGGAGCGTTCCTGGGAACAGCAGCGGCGCCTAGTCGGCTCGGTGCCCAGCTGTCACCCATCTCGAGCTCATCGAAATCAGCCGAGTTTGAAGGGACATGTGTGGAGTTTCGCATCCGCAGATTTGTTTTGTTTCTCGCTCCATTTCTGCACTTCTCTTGTCCCCTTGCCCTTTCCTGGGTAGTTGCTGAACCAAGGCCTCGTGGGCCGACTGGTGGTCTACAAGGACAGCCGCAGACCCAGACACCCAGCGTGCGATCGCCCCCTTTGCCTTTGCTTTCTTTCCATGGCATTCCCGTGGTTTCCCGAACCCCGAACCGAGAAGCCGAGCCCGTAAAGAGCTCGCCGAGGCGCGACGTTGCGGGAGGACTTCGTCTTGCGCCCGGGCCGAGCGCCTCAGAATACCCGAGTCACAATGGCCGGGCCTCTTTGCGTTTCTCTTGCTTTCTGAGGCCTGCGACAGTCAGGGGCCGTCGTTGCGATGATTCGTTGTCCGGGGCTGGCAGAGAAGGCACAGAAGTCTCCGCTGACAGGCTTTCTTAGCAATTCCCTTGTCTCGACATCCCAGCCAGGCTGGCATCCAGGTGGGCGATCGCTTGGTGTCTGTCAACGGAAGACGCCTGCAGGACCGAAAATGTTCCAACCCTCAAAAGATCTTTAAAAGGGCAACAGACGCAAGTCCACCCGGCTGCCCTGAATGCCACGTGCTCCTGCGATCGTAGCGAAGCAACACGCAGTGCAGAAAACAGCTGGATGGGATTGCCCCGCTGCGAGGATGTTGCAGACTGCGTGAGCATGGGGGTCGTCACGAATGTCGAGGTCCCGACAGCAAGGAGCAGTTCATGGAAGGGCCTCGTTTCGCAGCCCTGTGCACCAGTTGCCCGCTGCGCTGGTCTTCATGTGCAAGCTTGGAAAGATCAGCTCCGAGGCGACGGTGAGGTGACACGAGACTTTCGGTCCAAAGATCCCGTGCCCCTGTACAGGTCCGGCTAGTCTCCTCTGCGCCTGTTGAAATGGACTTCACCCTGGCAAGCGACAAGGCCAAAGGATGCGGGATGTGGGCAGGAGATCTAAGCTTCGAATGTCAGAGCAGGAGCACTTTGAATACATGAGAACTCGAGAGGTTGTGTTCTCCTCTTTCCGGCAAGGTCTGGGCTGGCGCACGCACCAAGTTTCTGTACCAAGAGGCTTTGTGTTTTCTCAAGCGTTGAGTTGGAGCAAGTTCCCTGCCAGAGAATACTCGATATAGTTGGTGATCGACATCGGCCCACATGAGGTTTGCACAGGGCTACAAGTGCACAAATGTGGAGTTGTACTTTGTGAGCCCTAGTTCAGTTCGCCTACGAAGTTCAGTCATCACGTGCCCGCAAAAACTGGATTGCTCCTTTTTGGCTCACGAGTTTGCTTGAAGTTTTGGCCCCGACCGGCCTTGACTACCCCGCTCGCCTACGTGCCTTGCCGCACAACACGAGGACTTGAAAAGGTAGAATAGGGTTCCTTTAAAGGGGTCCATAAGGGTTACTATAAGGGATCTATAAGGGTACTATAATATAGAAGACAAGCCTCTGAGCCTCTGGGTCCTTGCTCCACCCAGGCGCCTTCGATCGCCGCCTTCTCACCTTTCACCATGGCTGAGGTCGGAAGGGGCTCAGAAGTGTACTTTATCTTCTCATGCAGTAGTCGTTGTGGTCATCTGCCCGACTACTTGTTCGTCTGAGACAGAAGCACAACTTGTCGCCCGAAGGTGACCAACAACGGTGAGTTGCGCTTTGCCCAGACTCCTGAGGTCGTAGTCGCGAGCGCGCAGTGCTAAAATTCATCCGTTTCGTTGCCACTGCAAGGTCCAAGTCTGCCAAGCGCCGCGCTGCCAAGAAGGCGTCTTGCGCTACGGGTTTGGGACTCCCCCCATGCCTTCACGAGCAGACTTTCGATGTTGCAGGCACGTGACGAGAAGTACGTCGAAGGCGACCGGAAGTGCGGTCAGAATTTGAAGTCTCCAACTCCAGTCGCACATGCATGGACGTAACCTTGAGATATCAAGACTCTGAGCGCACGAGACCTGTGTGCAGAAGCGGCACCTCCGCCTGCACCGGAGCCGGTGCCGGAAAAGAAGCCGAAGGCCAGAGGGAAGGGCTTAGTGGCTTAGTGCTTGGAGCTCAAAGCTAAACCTCACTCTAAGCCCCCAGACCTATTCCTCCCTAAACCCGAAACCTTCAAGCCAAAACACCTAAGCCCTCGGCCCCAAATCCTCAACTCCCAAATTTCCTAAACTCTAAACTTCCTCTAAACCCCAAACCCTAAACTACCTCTAAACGCCGAACCCTAAACTTCCTCTAAACCGCGAGCCCTAAACTTCCTCCAAACCCCAAGCCCTAAAATTCCTGGACTTCCTATGCCCTAAAGCCCCAAAACCCAAGGCCCCACTTACCTTTGGTTAGTAGGGAACGGAAGAATGGTAGTAATAGTAGTTCTAATTGTATCCACTCCTCCATTCCCTACCAACCAAAGGTAAAGATCCCTTTCAAGGAACCCTAAACCCCTATACATAACTTTAAAGGAAACCTTATGGATCCCTTTAAAGGAGCCCTATTCCCTACTAACCAAAGGTAAGAAAACCCAAGGATCCCAAGGCAGCCTGGGGCGGGGGCTCGGCCCGGGGGGGGGTTTCGGGTTCCTGCGAGGCGAAGGCTGCGGCTACGCCGGAGCCGAAGGCCGCAAAAAGAGGGAGCCTTCTGTCTCCTCTTTTTGTCATACATTTTATTGTTACGATTATGCTTATTAATCTTATTATTGTTATTGTTAATACTACTCATATTATAACTACTATTATGATTAGTATTGGATTATTGCTATCAGTATTACTATCATTATTATTGTTAGCATCACTACTAGTATTAGTATTAGTCTTCCTAGCATTAGTTATGATTATCATTACTAGAAGCGATCTGGGGAAGCGGGCTGAAGGCATCTTCTTCTTGCGGTTTACTGTGGGAGCTTGATAAGGGAGTTTCTCAAAATTACGGGCTACCTTAGGGTGCCTTTACAGGGTTACTGTAACGGTGCTAGAAGTTCCTTCAGAGGGCTCGATAGGGTCCCCTATTGTCGGAAACTCCCTCGCAGTCTGGGAGGCCAAGGCCAAAGAAGCTCCAAAGGCGGTGCGGGCCTTGGCGAGTTGGTCAATGATGCACATATATATACACACACATATGTTACATCATATTTTCATGTTATGTCATGTTAGATTGTATTCTATTGACGTATACTTTATACAATATCATTTATCAAGTTATGAGTCGCTTTGGCCTCGCTTTGGAACCCCCGAGGCGGCGAAGCCCAAGGCGAAAGCCAAGGCACGGAAGAGAGGGCTCCGAGCTCTCTTCGCAAGCGCCGCTGCAGCGTTCATTATGACACCCCGGAACCCTGGCTCCGCCAGATTAGAATAGGGTTTTGGAGCCCATTATACCATAAATGTAAGAAGGAACCCCCAAAATAGTAGAGATAATCATTAAGGTCCCTGACATTCCCTCTGCTCTGCCGTGCTCTGCCATGCAAGTGAGACTGCGGCACAGACGCAGGAAGAGCCGGCCAAGCCGGAGCCGAAGGCCGCTGCGGTAGGAATCTCAGAAATCCGAAGCTGAAGGTGCTGTATCCAGAATTACGGGCCATGATTCAATGTTTGAAAGGTCGAGGAGGTCTAAGCCCTAGCCCGAATTCCTACTCTTCGGGACCTTGGATCGGTGTCTGGCTCTCTTGATATCTCTTGAGTCTTACTTTTAAGTCTTGGGCCTTGAAACCTACCCCAAACCCCAAACCCTAAACCTCTGAAACCGTACGGGCAGGAGGAAAAGAGGGCTCAAGAAAAAAACAACCTCTGAAATCCTTCAAGGCCAAGGGCAAGGCGGCCGCGAAGGCCGCCGCTGCCCCGGAGGCCCGGTGCGTTCGTCATAGGAGGCCAACACCGGTTTTAGCCTATGGGGGTTTAGTAGTGATTAGGGTTCCCATAATGGGGTTCATATTCTTAAACCCTGCTTTTGGCCTCCCATCATGAACCTTAGCGAAAAGCTTGTTGCGACGAAGGCTGCCAAGCCGAAGGGGGCAGCGAAGGCTCCTGGTCCGGCTTCAGGGTTTAGGATTTCCTTGGAGGGGGTTTAGGGTTTCCTTATCCAGGGGTTTCGGGGTTTGGGGTTCAGGGGCCGATCTGGCTCCACAAGCGTACTCTCGAAGTTCGCGTGCCTTGCAGGCAGATCCGAAAGCAAAGGCGGGGGCTAAGGCGCCGGCCCCTGCGCCGGCGCCGGAACCCAAGGCAGGGCGTGACCGCTTCACCTCTCCTCCGACATCGGGTGTTACTTTCTTAAGCTCAGGGCTTTGAGGTTGGCATAAAGAAAGAAGTAGTAGCATAAATACAAGCCAGGTTGAGCACAACAAACAAAACACCAGCATTCAAAATAACTAGGCCCAGCATGAAACCAGAACCACCAGGTTTGCAAGCATAAGAAAAGTGGGTAGGGGGGGGAGCATTATCAACAACATCGCTGTCCTACATTACATATAATACGGTATACCATGTGCTACGAGTACATTATACTCTGGTGTTATAGTATACTTTGCTATATGATAATATTTGCAGTATAGTATACTATGGTATAGGATTTTTATAGAATATTCTATTATAGTATACCTTCCTTTCCTGAGGCGCAGGCGAAGGGGAAGGCGAAGGCCAAAGCCGAGCCGGCTCCGCCGGCGCCGGCGGCCGCCAAGGCGGCGTTGCAAGCGCCGACAACCGGGCACTGTGGGCACTCTACTATCAGTTGCTAGCATCAATAAATAAGTAAATATATAAATTAATAAATACATATATATATATATACAGATATAGATATAGATACAGATATAGATATAGATGTTATACATATATATATATATACATCTGCAGATGTATCTATCTTCCTGTGTAGTGTAGTATAGTGTATATGTGAACCTCTTCCCTGCACATCTTACATGCCTCTATTCACGCTCTGATTTTGGTGCAGGCTGCCCCGAAGCCTGCGGCCAAGCAGGCCGCAAAGGCGAAGGGTGCACCACCTCCGAAAGAAGAGAAGGAGCTTAAGGGATCATGGAAAGTAGTAGTAGTAGTAGTAGTAGTAGTAGTAGTAGTAGTAGTAGTAGTAGTAGTAGTAGTAGTAGTAGTAGTAGTAGTAGTAGTAGTAGTAGTAGTAGTAGTAGTAGTAGTAGTTAGTAGTAGCAGTGGTAAGAATAGTAGTAGTAAGGGATCATGGAACTTAGTAACCAGGGAATGAAACAACCTAAGTAAGCCTATTCTTGCTTGTAATCATTGTAATCCATGTCCCATGATCCTTCAAGAGAGGACCATGGGGAGCTGTGCTGCGGCGCCGCCGTAGTCCTTGGCCGAAGCACATGTTTACTTTGTCTGTGCACTTCTTTGTTGGCGAGGAGCCGGAGAAGGAACGCGCGGACCTCGTGCAGCCCTTCGAGATGGTGATGGCCTCAAGAGGTCATGTACGTTACTCGCCGCCTGGTGCCGGAAACCTCATGCTCCAGATCCGAAACCGTTTGGTGAACACTGCAAGCGCTAAGTGGGGGATGGACCACCCGCTACGAGTAGAGAGTTTGGGATATTGTGAAGGGAGAGCCAGGCTATCCAGCCTTGTGCATGAAGCTTGAAGTTGAGAGGAACAGAATGAATGCCCCCCAACTAATGGCTCAAAGGAACAGAATGAAGGCTTGGGTCTCTGCTAGCCGCTAGTCATCACCACGGTTCTATCCTCTGAAACCCCGAAAAAGTGGAGTCAAGTTGTTCTGTTTCTTTGCCGCTGGCCAATGCTTCTCTCGTTTTGGCAGACGACTTGTGATCCGATTGTCCCTTCAAATGAAATGGACCCCGTCCCCAGTAGGTTCCGAAGAAACGACCGAGGACGACGGCACCGGAGGAGACTGGGAGCAGTCGACGGGGCTGTCGAAGAAGGCTGAGAAGAGGACACCGGGGTCCCAGCTTGGAGCGCGGCGTGAGCCCCAAAGCTTCAGCCTGCAGGAAAGAGAAGGAAGAGCAGCGCAAGCGCGAGCAGGCGATCAGAATAGACGTATGATAGTAGTATTATATTTATAACAGTAATAAGGATAATATCATAATAGTCGTTAATAATAAAGTCTCAGCTGTGCAAGAGCTGCGCGAAGGCCATTGAGGCAGCCCAAGCCAAGAAGACTGTGCCTGGCATGGTCCGGGGCCTCAGCTTTAGAAGTCCGGTCTTAAGATGCAGATCTTCGTCGAATTGTCACTGTTGCATAGCGTAGTGGCCGTCAAGTGCAGCTCTAAAACAACGGTATGCTTTACTAACTTTGCTGCATCTCAGGCGCCCACGAACACTGTTCCTGGCATGGCCCCGCCAAAGGTGCTGCAACGGATAGTCCCGTTAGTAGTTTGACGGACTGGGTTTGAGGTTCGAGTTTGTAGCTGGCTGTTGCTGACCGGGAGGAGACCCATCATCAGATCCCGCCTGACATGCGCGACTTGCCCCACTGCCTTCCTTCTTGAGTGGAGGCAGCCTCCAAGGAGGAGATCGCAGCATTCATGGCGGGTGTCAAGGAGAAAGGCGCCTGCTTCAAAGCAAGATCTCGCTCTTGAATCACTCGCTACCATAGTATATCACATAGTATACTAGTATCATGAAAGTATAGCATAGTATGCTATAGGATATTATGGCATACCGTTTGTTGCTTGCTTTTCCCAGTTGCGAGTAGCAAGGCGGCAGAGGAGAGGCTTAAAGGCCTCCGCACGAACCACTCCGGAAGCACACTTTTCATCGGTCCCTGCATAGGCCTACACCCAAACCCCTAACCCCTAAACCCCTAAATCCTAACCCCCAACCTCTAAGCCCTCAACCCCTAATCTCCGAAGCCCACAATCCCGCTGCGAATGGATAGTGCAGGCGCCGCCGCGCGGGCACAGGTGGAGGCGGAGAACGCGTGCCCCCCGGAGTGCCCCCGGGCATCTGCATCCGGGGAGAGAAGTTATCATTCTCCTTTGTATTGTCTTACATGTTGGTATACTGTAGCAATCTACGTATACATCTAGTATGCAAGTAACTATATGATACTGTACGCTGCATTTGTTATGCGATGCTTTCGGGGTTGGGTCCCTCTGCAACGCTGCCAAGGCCGAGAAGACCAGCATGCACACCGCCCAGATCAAGGTGCCGGAGAACAAGACACTTGGATGGCGAGATGGGTGACTTGCTCAATGCCGTGTAGCCAATATAGTGGCCTTTATAATTATATACCTGTACTATTTTGGGGTTCCTTTATTGTGTTTATAGTAAAATATACCCCTCCATATTATGTACGGCATGGGCTCTTTTTGCAGGGAAGTGCGCTTTCTACGGGGCGCTGTGTTGCTTTGATTCTTGGATTAGCTGCTCCCAGTACCTAGACTGGCTTTGTTTCGAAAGCAGTTTTGCCATCCGGGGATGCACGAGTTTGGCTTCGTTTCAACTGTTCAGCAGTAGCAGCGGCCTCTTGTGAAGCCCTGTCACCAGCACGTGGCTGCTCTGCAGGAAGGTGCGATTCAAACGGGGGAAGGAGGAAGACTGAGAACGGACGGCGTCCTCAAACTCTCAAACTGATATCCCTATAATGGTGGGGCGCATCATTCCAGGATATTCTTACTCTTCCTCACAAACGTGTCAAGGATCGGCATCGTCATCGGCCCCAAGGGGTCCAAGATCAAGCTGATCCAGGCAAGTTTTCTCAGCGAGGGTTTGGGTCTGCGACTTTTTCAGTCGACTCCCATCGGCCGGGGAAGAACCTTAAAGGCCCTACGAAGACCCGAAACCGCCCGAGACCTAAGCACACAGGAGAAGACCGGTGTTACGCGCATCGACACGTCTGGCGAGATGTTCACCATCGTTGGACCACAGCAGGTGCTCTGTGCAGCTTACAGCCAAGGGCAGCCGCGTTTGCTGGAGCCGCATTTTTCGGCATGCGTCAATCTTGAAAAGCACGTCTGTGCCGCTGCGCATAGTGACAATCCCAATATCCTGCGTGGATTGCCCTAAACGGTATATCAGGCTGTGGAGATGGCCTATGCTGCCGTTAAGGACCTTTGGTTGTCTCTGCTGTACGAAAGGCAGTGTTGCGAAAGCTGTTTATGAACTGCTGATGGGCAGCCCTAGTTGCAGTCAGCCGATCTCCCACAACAAGCAGTTCGATGCAGCTAGGAAAGGGGAGAAAAGCCGCATGTACAACTTTATCACACTGAACCAAGTCATCCGATGTGATCTCGCAGGAGTTGATGGAGAAGGGGTATTGCTCCATGGCATTCGAGGCCTGTTTCTAGCGCAGCATAGCGATCGCCGTCTAAGGGGTCGTGTGCAGAGTGAGTGATCCTGAGCTTGATCCTTGCGCTGTGAGGACTTCAAGGAAGAGGCTGTTCCCGTGCATCCCTCGGTTTTCCCCGACCTCATCGGCAAGGGGGGTGTCACCATCAAGGCCACGCGAAGGGACCGGTGCAGGGCAAGGGGTCGGCTGGCTCGTGTCATGTTGTCTGGATACATGTTTGTTGTATGTAATGTTTTGCCGTTCATAGTCTTGGTCTCGTGCTTTCTATCCTCATGATAACAAACTACACATGGTAATGCACATATAAACTTTTGGATGAGCAAGCAGACAGCCAGCCAGCCACACCGACAGGCAGACAGACAGGCAGACGGACAGACGGACCGGCGGACGGGTGGACTGGCGGGCAGACAGGCAGACGGACAGAGAGAGACGGACCGACGGACAGACGGACAGACACGCAGAGACGGACACCGGCAGACGGACAGAGGCAATACAAAAGCTTTGCTATGGAAGGCTTTCAAAAGCGAGTTGAACGTCGAGATTACCATCCCGGGCGATGTCAGAGACCTAGGTCGAGTTCGAACACAAAGGGTAACATCTGTTCTGGTACTCTTTGATCGTACTCTGTGATCAAGCGAGACGGCGGATCTGTCTTGAGGTAGTCGTCGACAGCCCGTAGGCAGCTTCCTTGATGTAGTTTATAGTGTGGTGCGCTTGTATCGACTGAGATTCCGAAGACTGCAACTACCGGCACGAAGAAGTACAAGGCTGCAGGGCTGCAGATCTTCGTCGGGCCGTTCGTTCTGTGCTCGTTGGCCGGTGGTAGCCGCCATGGGAGTGGAACGGCTGGTCTTTGCTCCACAGGTCACCCTGGCCGGCAAGAAGGACGATGTGAACAAGGCGAAGCAGGCGTCACGGAAGCCTTTCCTGCCTTCCTTGCTGTTCTGTGCGACCTGTGAGCCGACTGTGCATAGTGTGTCTTCCCCGGTGTATACTTTGGGGACCTCATTATGGGGATACTGCTAATTTTAACACGGTAAAATCCCATATCGCGAGAGTACCTGCTTAGCAGCTTCTGGCCTGAGTAGAAGAATTGCCTTCCTCCGAAGGTCATCGAGAACATCGTCTCGTACGGCTACCACGAAATCACACATCCGGGACAGGCGCGAACAGATTCCTTTTCTAGGTATCGGTTTGGGATACTTCTATTCTCCCCCAGTGCTTAATGTAGAGCCCTCACTATAAACACTTTTGGGAACTGTTGAAATCGACACCAAGTTGTTTAACATGTGCCCGCTCCATTTCCACCGTGCCAGACCCATGAAGAGATCGAAGTGGAACCGTGGGCCTACAAGTGGTGGTCACAGATTTCGACTGCAGACGCTGCTTTTGAAATCTCCCAGTTTCCATGTTGTGCAGCTCACTATATCCGTACTCTTTCTCTTCGCAGTGTGCTTTTCAGTTTGAACCGACGCATGCTAAGGTTCTTGATTGGCAAAGCCGGTTCGGAGCTGCGTCACATTCAGAACAACTACAAGGCAGGAGCGAAGGAGCAAACGTGGCAAGCCAGAGCTTTGACAAAGGTCCTGTGACTCCAAGCCCGCATTTGCCAGGTAAAGGTGAACATTCCTCGTGAGCACTCCGTGTGTCAGAACGTGGTGGTCGTCGGTGTACCCGGCGACGTGGCCCGTGACGGACCCGGTGACCAGCAAGAAAAGCACCCCGTGGATGGGAGCTGCCGTTCAGGTGCAAAGGACTACATTGACAACGTGCTGTGGAAGGCGCAGAACCAGCCGACAGGCGTGCCGGAGGGGTTGAGACGGTTGAGAGCAAGCTTCCATCACTGTGAAGAGGAAAGCAGGAATGGCCCAAAGACAGTCCTTGCTTCTGCGACGTTCGAAAACTCTTTTCTGAAGTTTGAAATTTCTCTTCACCCAGCCCAAAACGCTGTAGCAGACGACTATCCTCAGGCTCGCACAACACTTCTGGTTTCCGCTTCTAGGTCGCCGGGATGGAGACGCGGCCATTGACACCTGGGGTCAGGAAGATGAGGAAGAGGACGGCAGATGGCAGCCCTTCGTCATGTGTTGATAGAGGGCACGCGAAGCTTTCTTTACTCCTGTGCAGGACTGGATGAAGGCGTACATTTACAAGCGAAAATGAGCCTAGAAGCGGATTGCTGTCAGCAGTCTCCTGCTGATGCGAGGCTCAGGCGATCCAAAGATAGGCTCTGGCGAAAAAGAGTGTGGGTGTGTCTTGTTTTTTCGTTTCCGTAGATGCAATGTCTGCCTGCTCTTATGGGCGCTACTGGTATGTGCGTTTTGCATCTTACGATGTCTGTTGTGGAAGAGAACTCGCGGTCTTCGACGGCCCTTTGATTTTGCATACGCGGCGGGGGTGTTCAAATTGCTACTCAGCTACTCCAGGAAAAAGAGCTTTAAGCGCACTTAAACCTTAGCCATAGTTCATTGAAGAGATGCTTGACAGCCTGCCGATCTGTTTCACTGCAGAGCAGGCGGGCATGTCCACCGATTCCCCGTTGAATCTAGTAGCCGTTTTGCACACTGTGCAGCATGGCTTCTTCTTGAACTTACATCTTGCTTCTGAATTCTGAAGCCTGATGAGAGGGTTCGAACCTGCCTGGGCCAACAGGTCTCCTTGAACAAGCGGACACCAAACCCCTTCGAAGCTTTGAGCTTCTTCCTTAAGTTGGAGCCTCCTGGAAACCCTAAACCCTAAACCCCTAAACCCCAAAACCCCTAAGCCCCTAAACCCCTAAACCCCTAAACCCCTAAACCCCTAAACCCCTAAACCCCAAAACCCCTAAACCCCTAAACCCCTAAACCCCTAAACCCCCAAACCCCTAAACCCCTAAACCCCTAAACCCCTAAACCCCCAAACCCCTAAACCCCAAAAACCCCTAAACCCCAAAAACCCTAAACCCCCAAACCCCTAAACCCCCAAAACCCTAAACCCGGGCTTCCTGGCCCAGCTGTTGGTCCGAAGGCCCAACTGGACCTTCTTAGGGCACACCCGAGGCATTCGACCGGTCCAAATCGCCTTGAGCTTTCTTTTAAAAGGAGCGCAAGTACAGTACCCTACCTATAGTATCGTTTAAAAGGAACCCTATAGTATCTTTTAAAAGGAACTCCTCTAGTATCCTTTAAAAAGGAACCCTATTATAGAACCCTATTGTATTCCCAGCCTGCAGCATGGAGCTCTATTGGCCGAAAGAAGTCGTACGTGGCTTGCGACGAAGACTGCATGTTCATTGACTTGGCTTTCGGCATCACCATGAAAGTAAACTCGACAGGCATTTGGACTGGGAGAGTACCGATCTGCCTGAGCTTCCAACGGCTTTAAAGCTGAGAGACCTCTGCAGACACTGTGTTTTTGTTCTCGCTCAATGCTGGTGAGGCCTACCCTGCTGTGGCTTCACGTCTCTGAGTCCCCGTCTATTACTTCTCATATGTGGCAGCCTGTTTTGCTGCTTCTGGTTCGGTGAGGAGAGGAGACTGGTCTCTTTCGTAGGCTCGTATTGCGGGGACGAGGCGAAGCCACTTGATACGCGGCATCTCATTTCCCAGCAAGAAGTCTACGATAGTCTAGTGCACTGCATAGTACTTATCCTGCTGGGTGGCCTCTGACCAGCATTCAACGCCCTGCCATTTGCTGAAGGCGGCGGGGTGCGACGTTTGCTGCGGCCATCATAAACTATAATTTTCTATCGAAGTACTTGTGGCTCTTTTGCCTCGGTCTCTAGGGTCGGTCTAGGCACACCCTCGCCAAGGCTCTGCAAGAAACGCCACTCCGTATTTCAACCTTCACGCAAGTGGAGGCAGCGCGCACACACATTGCAGACTCTCGATAGAAGCGTACGGCTTTCGTAAAGAAAGGTATCGTCCCACATGACTTGCACTGGTGCAGTGGCATCCGAAAGTTCTGCTGCGATCGTGGGTAATATCCTAAACCCGAAGCCTAAACCCAATATTCCTTCTGATTAACTCTCTGGCCCCTAGCAAGATTCGCAGAAGCGACTGCAGTACGAGGAAGCTGCTGTGCCACTCGCCTTCCGACCATAGACAGGAAGCAGGAGCAAAACAGTCTCTGTGCCCCCACTGCCGAATGAGAGGAGAAGCAGGGAAGTAACCATCTGCCACAAATTTTCCGGCGTAGAGGCGATGATCACCGTCGAGAGCCCATCATCGGCAGCAGTCTTCCTCAAGTATGATTGAGGGGCAACTCAAACAATCATCCACCCCTCGATATTCAAACAGAGCCCTGAACATGAAACCCTAAACCCTAAACCCTACACCCTAAACCCTACACCCTAAACTCTGCACCCTAAGCCCTAAACCCTAGACCCTAAACCCTAAACACCCTGAAAGCCTTCTTCGGCAGAACTCTTTGGCAGGAACGCGTTTTCGACCCCAACCTGGCTTCCTTGGCCTTGGGGGTTCAGGACCGGCAGATACCAAGGGTTTAGTCTCGGGACCTTTGTAAGTGGTAGAGTGGGCTTAATAATTGGTCTAGGGGCCGTGTATGTAGAACAGGGTTTAGTATTGTTATTATTATTGCTATCAGTGTTATGTCTAGTAATATCCCATCGCACTTTTGCGAATGAGTGTCGGTTGTCAATGGCTGATGTTATTTCTAAGATACGTTGTCGCAGTTGCCGGTGTAGCGGTTCCAGCAATCCTAATTCCTGAGGTTCCCTATGTCCTTGACAGAGCGTTCTGTGCGTCTTGCTCGCTCGTCGTTGTCATCCTTTTGTCATGCCACTCTGATCCTATCCGCGATTGATTCTCCCGGCCGTGATGGTCTTAGTCTTGGCCCCCTTTAGCCAAAACGGAAGCTTACTTGCAAGCCCAGTTTCACGCACTGCGCCGAGAAACTTTGGAGCCCCACCTAAACCCTATAAACCCTTAACCCTAAACCACAGACTTCTCAGGGCCCCGCCGGCCAATCCGTCAACGCTTCGCCACGGCAAATGTTTTCCTTGGAGCAGCAGGAGGCCGGGGCCGGCAGAGAGCAGCTCGGGCGAATTACTGGGTTCTTGTTCTTGCTATCATCAGGAAACCATACTGTAATATTTACTATGGTTATTGTCAGGAAGCCGTATTATTTATTTACTATGGATCCTTATTATGGTAAAGTTAGGTCGAATTACGCGAAACTCGACGCCGGCGGGGACTGTCACCGGACATTGAGCATACACCCTTCGAAGTCAGAATGCCCTCGCAAGACTTTCAGAGACAAACACCCAGCACAGCGCTCTCTCCCACCTCTGTCTCTGTCTCTCTCTCTCTCTCTCTCTCTCGCTGTTTCTCTCGGTCTCTCTCACCCACTCACTCACTCACTCACTCAGTTGCTCCATGCATGCACATGCACTTATTGCAGACATGCGTGTTTGTTTCTATCTCTATACCGAAGCTGACACGTAACTACCGTGTGCACATCCGTCCCTTCTTCTGTGTACATCCAGCATGCATCCACCCAAGCGAACAACCAGCCAGCCAGCAATCCATCCGATGCATCCCGTCGTCACAGTAATGCATCGACACATGGGTTCATGGGCAGGTAATCATAGGTAATACTTGCATAGCCAAGCACGTTGAAAACCAGGCAAAGCGAAGCGATGCGCGCTCGAGAACGGGAATGCCATGCATGGATCATGCATAAGTCATGACATTTCGAAATCAGGCAAGATCAATTGAAGCTCTAGATATGCAAACGTTCAGTACATAAACACACACTAACACATGACATGTGGAGTAGAGCGTCACAAATTGACGATTCAGGGAGTTCAAGCGCAGGTCCATTTCTTCAACAACAGTTGCCACAGAAATCGTAATTGGGGCACCTTGCAGCAATCCGAGTTGGCCACCTTGCAGCAATCCGAGTTGGCGACAGCTGCATTTAATCCAAGACGGCCTGTCCCATTGAACAGACAAGCAAGTGTCTGTCGCAGAGTCTCCTCTCCCAGACTATTGGTCTTAGTTCAACCAGCCCGGGTCGATAGGGGTTCCACATGTCCCGCTCAGAGCAGTCTGCCTTCAATGCCACTGCCGTGCTCACGAGCCGCAAGGCGTGTAAGACGTTTAACGATGCGAAAATCGGAATGAAATACGGTTTGGTTTTCTAGGCTTGTTGTTCAGCAAGCATCTTTTCGCCACAAGACAAACGTAGAGACCCTCCAGAGCGAAATACAGAGGGATCCTAAGTCACTGAATTGTGATAGCCAGATCAAGACATCCATTCAACATGTAGATAGATAGCTAGTTAGTAGGAACAGGTAGGAAGGGATGGATAGGTAGGTGGGTGGGTAGGTAGGTGGGTAGATAGATCGATAGTTCCGTGCATGAGATGCATTGCCAGCTGCGCTGTGCATCGAAGTCGTCGTGCGCCATTGTGAAGGCTGCGCATCTGGTCCGACGAGCCAAAAATGATGCCGAGGCCTTGAACATAAATAATTGAAGAAACACTACAGGCAGAAGCCTAGGCAACATTCTGAAGCTGAAGCTGCGGACGGGTATTCAATTGCACCGTGAATGTGAGGCAAACTTGCTTGAGGCTTGATGTGCAGTTTATTGATTGCATGGCTGTTCGACCAGTCATCCAAGTGTTGCATGCATGCTTGGCACATCACATGCTGCACCTTCAGCAGTTTTGCAATGGCACTTCTGCAGACGGTGTGGGAAGGAGATACAAGTGGGCACATCTGTAAGCCGCGCCCCTCGAAAGGCACACCTTCGTCACTTCCACAGCGAGGAGTGTCAAGCATCCACTGCCGATGTCGGCCAGGTGCTCAGTGACACAGGCCTCAGGTGCATTAAAGAAAGACTCTGAGTCTTCAGCTGCCTTCTTGTTATTGGAGGCTTCAGGAAGCCACTTGCCCTTGTGAGCTCTGTCGACAATAGCCACTCACAGGTCCCTAGTCCAAGCTGAGGTGCTCAATCCTCAAACCGCAGCGGCTTGGACGAGTCAGACACCTCGCAGGCCCTCGGACGACGGAGCCTTGAGCGATGAGTTGATGCTCCTTGTGACCTGAGCTGACGTCAGGGAGTGGAAGCTCTCGACGAGGCGTGTCGGACCGCAAGTTCTTCGGACTTATGCATGGAGCACATGGAGCTGTGGAAGCCGCAGCAGAAGCACCCGCTCTTGCATTGGCCTAGCCAGCCTTCGAGCCCTTAAAACTGCCCACCCTCCGCAGAGTCTGCGGACCTTGGACTTCGCCCTTCAATCTGAAGGCAAGCAGCCCCAAGCGAGCGCTGGGCTGCCGTCCCAGCAGGGACTTGGGAGTTTCTGAAAATAGGGGACCCTAATATGGTACCCTAAATAGTAAGTAGGATCCTTATTATGAGGAACCCCAAAATAAGGTACCCCTATTTTCGGAAACGCCCACTTTGAGAACTTCTCTTCGAGAGCTAAGAGCTGTCCTTCTTTTCTGGTATGCCCAGGCACGACTGCATCAGCTTCTCCTCGCGAAGGCCTTTTTGAAGCGGATCTCCAGAGTTGATCTGCAAGAGAAGCCTACGGGACATGCCGTTCATCCTGAAGCCTTCGGCAAGTTCTTGACCTTCCGAAGCTGGTGTTGTGTCAGCTTGGATTGGGCCATCTTCCATGGCTCCGGCTCCCAAGACCTTGAAAGACGACGGGATCGAGGCCGGCCCTTTGCGTTCGTTTCCTCCGCACAGATCGCGAGAGTTTTGGTGGTTTTGTGCGAGGAGAGCTGGGAAGTCGGGATCTCTGACGAGGAATTTGAGTCACGGCGGCTGTAGTCCGGGGTCGTAGACTTAGAGGATGTGGGCAATCGTGACATCTTTTCCGCAAAGTAGCTTGTTTCGAATGGAGAAGTGCAACATGATTCCGCGAAAGGATGCTAGCTAGTTTGGGCAGGAGCAGCGGTTTGCGGCTCGTTAAGCCGCAGTTGGGTTTCACCCTTGTCGGGCAAAGGCTCGGAAACCAGTACCTCGTCTGCCGCTGGAGCCACGGGTTCAATCCTTTCAAAGGTTCTGCTGTGGACATACCCCAGTCTGTTTTATCCAGACAGGTCTGGCAGACATCAGGTGCTTGTTAATGCTATGCGCGAATTGGCAGGGTCAGTGCTAGCGTGCCCCACTTAGACTTCGTCGAACGCTTACCCTTTTTGCGACTCTACTCTGAAAAGTCGAAGTGCATGGTTGAGCTGAGAGTTGAACTCAAGGATCAGCTTCTGAAGTGTTGCAGCATCTCTCTTTCAACCCAAAACCTCGGCAACACAAGTGAGGACACACTGGCACCGGTAGCGCACTATTCAGAGACCGCAGATGTAGTCGGCAGACTCGAAATCCGTTCTTGGTGTTGACTCATCTAACTTGCACGAGCCCTGGCCAGAAGCCGTCTCAACGGAGCGCTACCGAGGGCGGGAAAATGAGGGTCGCGCGAAGTTAATGGCTTCCCTTGGCTTTCGATCACCAGTCTTGGAGGCAGGTCCCCCACAGACCCAGACTCCCCGGAAGATTCAAAAAGTAGATCCCTTAATGGGGGTTCCTATAACGTGCCCTTAGTAGTATAGGGCCCCAAGTTGGGGGATCTACTTTCTAGATCCTTGGGGCTGGGGAAGTGAAGCATCCATGTGAGGTGCTCTCTGGCGACATCCGGCGGCCAATGCTGGGGAGACGAAAAGCTGCTGTCAGCGGTTGTTGGTCAGCTGCGGGACAGTTGGACTGACGAAAGAATCCTACTACCTTGCGCACGTGTGTTTTTTGTGCATGGCGTGGACTGGGCGTTCGTGCGGCTCCAGGTTGGTGGCTGTTTCTTCTTAGTGTCATGTGGGTTGAGGTAACTCTATGGGTTTCTTTTGAGCAGCTGTAAGGACGAGGCGTGCAGCGTCGCAACGCAGCACTCCCCGCGGACATCCAGACAAGAGAGGGCCACAAGACCCTCATACTGTAACCTGGTTAACCCGGAGCTTTCCGCTCCATTGTCCATGCTCCCGGCGGGGGCCCGGGCCCATGCTGCCGCCCGATGATCGCTGCTACGCAGGCTGAAGATCTGACTTGAGGCTTTGCTTTGGAACGGCGACACTTCGGTCCCTCCTCCCAGAGAAAACCCGAAGAGACAGAGAGCATCGCATTCGGCTGGTCACGTTGCGTCAGCACCCACAGCGCAAGAGAGGAGCCTTCGTCGGCACCGGCAGCGCCTCGCACCTTTGACTGGGCAGTGATGGCCTCGACGTTGCTTCACGGGTGCACCTTCCACGCCTGAGCTTGGTCTAAATTCGGCCTCTGCCAGCAAAAGGCCTTTGCTCAGGGTAGAGCACAGGCGAAGGGCCCAGATTCTCCCGAAATGTGATGACAGCGATGCATCAAAATCCGAGAGCTTGACGAGGATGTGGATTCCTTGGAGACGCTCACGTCGGGCATCAGGAAGGAGGCTCGGGAGCATGTCAAAGTGACCTACGGCGTCCCAGAGCGTCGTTGCCTGCACATGCCTGCACGGTCAGGTTCGCGGTGGTTCTCTGTGCTGCACTGAGACTTCTCAGGGTGCTCGCGCCTGGTCTAGTGGGTCTAGCGGCCTGGATGCAAGGCAAGCGCACATTTGCACCATCTCGCGGATAGATGACGTCCCGCGCGTCATGGAGGCAAGGCCGCGGAGACTTGCAGGGGATCCTCTCGGCAGGCTCACTTTAACAGGTACTAGTATGGTCCGGTGGTCAGGAGACGAAGAGCAATTACGACATGCCTTTCATGTGAGGCTATGCGGGCCGCCCTGGCCTTCCAAGACGTCACCAGCTTTGACCCCGGCGCGGCCTTTTCGCGAAGGTACGAAGCACAGCCCATCCCACTATTTCTGAGGTTGGTGCTACGGGTATCGCTTGAGAAAGCGTGCCGCGGTGGAGGCCTTTCCGGCCCAGCGCAAGCTGCAAGCCACAGAGGCTTTACGCCTTGTCTGCAGGATGGCAATCCCGATGAAGGCGAGGTGGAACTTCGCTGGAGTTCGATTGTGCTTCTGTCAAGCCAAGCCTAGAGTGATGAACAAGACGTGGCAAAGTACATGGGAGATTCGGGAGAGGCGCCGGCGATGCCTACGAGGGTTGGGAGGACACCAGCCAAGGGCACTCCTCGGAGTTGATCAGTAAGTTCGGTGCTTCGGTGGACAGCTTGTGGGCGAGAGGATGGCCTTGACGAGGGCTCTGGGGAGCCGCTGCCTGAGGCGTGCAGTGAAGTGTCTTCATTCGTCTGCACGTGTAGTGCCTTCCCGAACTGCTAACCATGCCCAGCACGCTGAAGCCCAGGAAGATCTTGACGGTCATGAGGCGCTCTGGACTCCAGGCGCGCATGGAAACGGTGCCACCCTTGCCGTCTCTTCCGTGAGCTGGCCATCCCCACGCGGAGTCCGGGTGCGACTGTCAAACTAGTGTGCACCATGACGCACAAACTGACTATATAGAAGCAGGGCGCAGCAAAAGTTTTCCAGTCGGCCGCCATGTTTGCAGGGGTTGCTGGTGGTCGTGAGCCGATGGCAGGAGCTGGGTGGGTTCGGGGTCTTGTTGGGGATGGGCATCCTCCAACTAATTTTCGTAAGGAGTGCCGACTTCCTGCACTAGATCGACTCACTGTAGAGATTTCAGCTTGGGCTGACTCCGAAGACGGGAGCTGCTTCGCTTGGGTGTTTCCAAAGATCCCCTTGAAGCGTAAAGCTCACTTCAGAGTGCTGAAGGCCGTTCAGTGGCAGGGAAGAGACTTCTTGACTTTATGTGAAGGATCACGGCCGGGACTACCAGACGCCAACCCCGGGTCTTGAGCTTTACGGCTTGCAGCTCTACTCGATGGTGGTGGAGCGTTGCAAGGACACGGGTGAGCCGGGTGTGCCTCCGGTGGCTCAGAGGCAGCATCCTGGACGAAGTTGCGTGTTCTTCGAGTTATGACAGGATCTGCTGGCCAACATCAAGATGGCAATGGGACTGGGCCAGGCTGTGGCATCCGTGGCTCAAGCTTTGGACCATGCCTTCGCTCTGTGACGAAGGCGCCTCCGAGCCCTCCGCCTATGCCATTCTTCAAGGCGGGCGAAGCCAACATCTGCGGAGAGGAGATTTCTGCAACGCGCTGGGAAGGAGAGGCTCAGCAAGAAGACCATTGACTTCAGCTTTCTCCCGCCACTTCCCGAGCCTCGAGTCTGGAGCTCAAGCTCTGCGGCCTGTGCCAAGGACTCTCGCGCAGTAGGGCGGTTCGTTTTTTTGTTCATTTTGCAGGTGCCCACGAAGTTCGGACCCAACCACTTCTTGTACGAGTCCTCCATGAACAAGCAGCGGTCAATGCAGTCCACCCAGCTGCAGCATTGCGCAACTTCAAAGCGGATCTACGAGGGCGCAGATGGGGGTATTCGTAGTAGCTCCTTGCCAGTTGACCTGACCTGTATCCCTCTGCGCACCCATGTCAATATCGCCAGCTGAAGCAGGATGCAGGGTGTGTCTTCAATTGCTCAGCGAAGAACTCATTCCGTCTAACCGGCTTTGCATCCGGGGGAGATGCTAGCTCGCTCTCTCTCTCTCTCTCTCTCTCTCTCTCTCTCTCTCTCTCGCTCTCTCTCTTTCCTACTCGGGTCCACATCCCGTTTGGATTTTCAAAACTTTAAACAGACAGCAAGGCCTGTCAGTAGTCTATGACCGACAAGCGGTCAAAGTGTCGCCGAGGCCTTCCCTATTCGGAGGAGGAGATGTGCGTCTCTGGATGGCCAACGACGAGTGCTTGCCGCAGCCTTGGACAGTCGAGCCAGAAAAGAAAGAGCCCGGAGTTTAAGATATGTAATATGTAAGTCGAACCTCCCGACCGCAAATCCAAAGAACTGCAGGCGTCACTTGCCAGACTCCGAGCTCTGGGCACTTCGGGCAATACGTCAGCCGGCTGGGAAACCCAGCGATTTGGTCTTTCGGAGGAAAGTCGGAGGCGGTTTGGCCCGCAAGTGCAGGATGGAGTATGAACGCTCCTCGGGGATGAACAGGGCACTGTGCTGACAATCTCCATGATGTGCCCCCTCGGAGCATGCTTCCGCAGTATCAGTAGCAATGTAGTCAGCCTTTTGCACGAGGCCTCAAGCTGCTAAACCCGAACGATGCTGCGAACACTGTCAACGCTACCTTGCCCAGTCTTAGCTTGCTGACAGCCCCGTGCCAGGATCCTTTGATCGAGCCGCGCCCTGAGGGTAAGCCACAGTGATAAGTAGTGCGACAGCATTGGTGCGGTGGTGAGGTCGAAGGCTTATCACTTATGACCAATGCTGTACCGCTAGTACGATCCGAGACACAGACAGGCGTACGCTCCATGCCGTGTCCCTTCTTCGTGGGCAGAGCCCTGCAGCTCTAAGCCGGGATGCCCAGAGCTGACGCCACGTGCTGCACTAGGCACCGGCTGCCCCACTCATATTTTGGAGGTGACTGCCTAGGCTGTCTAGGCTCAAAGAGACTCGAGGATCGTTGCCACATATCCCCGTTCTGAAATCACCATGTCCGGCGTCTCTCTCGCTGTCGAGTCCGGCGTGCCTCTCGCTAGCGCTATCGAAGCTAAGGAGAACGAGCCCCGAACGCTCGTGTCTCGTCAGGGTGTTTCACTGGGAGGCACTGTGGTCACCATGCTGATCCTTGGTCAAGGATCCCTGTTAACTTTTGTGTTTCGGATGTTTTGAATAGCAGAAAGGGAGTTCATGAGAAGGAACCTGTTCTCTTTCCTTCCTGGCAACCACTATACCGAGAGTGGAGCCCATGAGAGAGATCCGGGATCCGTTTAAAGGAACCCTTAAAGGAACCCTTAAAGGGAACCCTCAAAGGATCCGTCTCCCCTTCCTAAGAGCCGAGGAACGTCTTTGTGGGAGGAGGCAGTGTCGTCTTGCCCTACGCTTTCCGTCTCTCGGGCTGGCTTTTCGTTGCTTAGGGGTACTTAGAAACAATTTTTTAATCTTTGGTTATTAGAATCCCTAAGAAACAGCTAAAATTACAATTTTTGCTAGGGTTCTTGTTTTTGGTTATTATAATCCCTATAAGAAACAGCTAAAATTGTAATTTTTGCTAGGGTTCTAAGTTCAGTATAGGTTCCCTTGCTACTGGCCGTGGGAGTGCTCATGGGCCTGGACCTCAGCACCACATGGCACTGGGGACCTGGTGGGGTTTAGGGTCTTAGAGTTTAGAGGCTCATATGGTTATTGGGCTTCAGGATGTAAGGATATGTAAATGATCCTGAGATTCTATTCCCTCAGCTCGTGTCGGTTCGGTAGGACAGACTTCAGCTGAAGCTCTGGAACATTCATAAAGCCATCGACATCAAAACCCCAACCCTCGCAAATCCCAGTGGGCAACATTCAGAGGCCACACAAATGAGTCAACAAATAGTTGTGAAGGCGTTCAAGGAACCTTCAGAGTACCTTCAACAACACTCAACAACAACTTCCCTTCGAATACCACCGAGAGAAAGCCTTCAACAAATCTGTCAACAAAGCCTTCAAGAAGCCATCAACAGCCCCGCGAAGGCTTCACTCTGTGGATCATGGGCTTCCTCTTGGAGAAAGTAGACGCTCGGGCGGACGAGATGGGAATGCCACGCTCTCAACGTGATTGGGGCCTTATTGGCTACGCAGCATTCGGCAACATCGGCCGTCTGCTCTTCGCTGGATGCATGTTCTTCGACCTCACCGGAGGGGCATTGGTTTTGGTCAGTATCGTCATTGAGCAGCTCCCCTTCCTGCTACCCTTCAGGCACAACGTCACGGCCGCTCTTTCTTGTATCTTGGCCTTCAGCTGCTGCCTGCTCCCCAAGAAGTTCTTCTCAGCCATGGCCGTGCTGGGTATGTCCTCCCAGGTTCTCTTAATCTTAGGGCTCGTGATCACTGGTGCGGAGCTGTCCTCCTTGAACGAGGTTGCCACCGACCAGACGGCTCTGAAAGCAGCAGGGGTGCCATCTGCCTTTGGCATTGCCCTCCTCTGCTTCCTGGCACACAGCGAGGCTCCTCTCATCTACCAAATGATGGAGGACCGCAAGCAGTGGACCAAGGCCGTGATCTACAGCATGACCCTTACGGAGGCTTTCCTCCTGACCTTCGGAGCCTTGGTCTTCCAGTACTCCAACATTCCCTTTGTGGTGAGTTGGAGGGGGCGGGGTCCTGATAAAAGCCGAAGGGGATGGAGCACCCTAGTTCTGATTGTGTGTTCTTTCAGAGCTTAGGAGCACTCGGCTACGGCTTCTTTGGTGGCAGTGTTGCGCAGTCCATTGCAGACAACATTGGCCGCGATTTGGAGCTTCAAGTGCTGCCCGGCGGCTTGAATGTTTTCTTGGGTGCAATCACGATCCTTGGCCTCAGCACAAAGCAGCTGGTGACGCTTCCTCTGCTTCTCGATGCCACCACCGACTTATTCGGAGAGCGGCTTCAGTGGAAAGGTCAGCTGCTGATGAAGGCACCTGATAGGTTCAACAGGTAGAGGACAGAGGAGAGAACAGAGCCGCGAGACATGTTGCGTAGTAGTGAGCGCACCTTTTCGTCTTTTCTCATGCAGCTGGGACGGCTGATGCTACTAATACTAGGACCTAGGATTTTGTGTGGGCAGGCGATCATTCTGGGCCTCTCGGGCATTGTTGTCGTGCTTCTCAAGGATGCCGTTGCTTTCATTGGTGATTTGGTCGGCATTTTGCCGGCGAATGGTGTTTGCGTCATCTTTCCCTGCGCTGCCCTCCTGCAGATGTACGGGCATGAGATGCGCATGTGGCAGCGCATTGGTGTGCGTGCATTAGTCGTTCTGTTTAGTTTGTACAGTGTGTTCGGATCAGTGTCTACCATTCGAGAGCAGCTTGCCATGTAAAGAGGGCTGAAAAGCTTGCCGATGGTAGAGTAATTCAGAGCCGAAGAAGCTCGTACGTACAGCTTGACGTTGTCATCCACGAATGCATGGCACTTGTACAGCGCCATGGCATGAAGAGAGCTGTTGCCCTTCTGTATTGCGATAGCAGCAGCCGACATGCTTCAAGCGAATTCCAGGAACAAGTGCACGGACAGAAGAGACAGAGGGAGGGAGAGAGAGTGTTGTTGCTACACTCGGGGGCTTTGAATCGAAAGATCGATGCCTGTGCGGCAGGTGGGCCACCTGCCGCCAGATGGGGGCATCTGCTTCAGGCCCGGACCTGAACATGAAGTGCAGGTCGGTCACAGATGGGCAGCACTGGGAGTGCAGTGAACCTCGTTCTTCTTCACTATGGGATTCGCAGAATCCTGTAAAAAAACCAACTGCAGACGCTGCGCTCGCAAACTCTGCGCACGGAGCTCTTGCTCTTCGATGCGGGGGCCCTGACACCTTCTGAAGCGGTTCGATCCTTTCGGTCTGACATACTGGGTCTGGGAGTAGAGCTTGAATCTGTTTGTTCAAGGCGCGCTGCATCTCCCAAAAGACGGCGCAGATGGCATTGTCAGTGCTGGAGGGCATGGACGCATGGTGCTGAGAGTGCGACGGTCCTGAGCTTGCAGAGAGTTTCACACTGTCGCCCGTCCCAGGCGGAAGAGGTCCGCCGAGCGAACCCTGGTGCCGGGGTGCTTTTCGAGTGGGCTCAGGCAAGCTTCCGGATGAAACTTCGAAGAGCTCAGAGGAGTAAATAGAATCGGAAGACACACACACAAACTACTCTCTCTCTCTCTCCCTCTCTCTCTCTCTCTCTGTTCGAGTCGTTGTCGAAACCATGCAGCACAGGGCGTGGCGCGCTATCGCTGCCTCGGCCCGCCGGAGTCGGAAGAGGCCAATCACGCACTCGAGAAAAATCGGAAGACGTTGGATTGTGGGGATAACTCGGCGCGTACATGCACTATGGCTCTATGGTTCCGCGATCTTCAGTTGTTGCGAGATCTCAGCGTCTAGAAGGGGCGGGGGGAGGGGCTCGTCATTGCTGAGCATTTTGGAGCGATGCTGCAGTCTTTGACAGTGAAGCGACAGCGATCAGAGGATGATGCTCTCGCTGTGTTGCGGCCCTTGCCTCGGAAGACCAAGACATTTCCGGGTCTGCGTTGTGAAGTTCGTTGGTGCGTAGTTGCGAATGTCTTGACTGTCGGGTCCAGGCACGCCTCTTCCAAGAACGTCGATACCAAATCTGGATTTGAGGGATTTGACTGTCTCATGTTGGACATAGTGGGATGATAGCGGGATGTGACGCTACCCAGGCCGCGAGAGGCAGACCTCAGCCCTCTCCCAAAGATGGGGCAGCCCGGAGCTTGGCTTGCAGTTGGCCGAGGAGCAAAGAAGGTGAGAGATGAAGTCATACACAGTAATACATGGGTGGTTGTCAAAATTAGGGTCCCTTTTTGGGTCATTGGTATAATACGGTACCTAATATTTAGGGTGCCTAAAAAGGGATCCTAACTTTGACAACTGCCCACATGAGTCGTGCTTGTTGCTCCGGAGTGAGGCCGAGGCGTCTTTTGCCTGCGACGAGGCGAGCCTCACAAGCGCTGTCAGCACACAATCGTGTGGCAGGAGTGCTCCCATGTCCCGAGTCCAAGAAGCTTTAGAGAGCAGCTTCCCCACGAACGTTCGTGCCTTGGGACCTGAGCCGCGATGGTGCTCTCTTGGCCTTCAGGCGTATGCGGAAACAGAAGTCCTGGGGAGTTCTGGAGCGGAGCCCACGCCTTGGTCCTCTTTTCTCTCTCTCTCCCTCTTGTTTTTTTCTCTCTCCCTCTCTCTCTCTCTCTCTCTCTCTCTCTCTCTCTCTCTTTCCCACTCAGTTCCCACTCCGTCTCTGTTTCTTTGCATGTTCTAGGCTTTGTGCGACCTAGAATCTCGTTGCCAAAGCCTCGCCGCCGCCGCCGACTGGCTCACATGATCGCCGGCTTCAATGTGAAGGACATGAGCTGTCTGGTCCCCCAAATGACGATTATGTTGCTCGATAGACTTTTCTACTGACTGCGCGGCAGCTTACGTACTGATCCAGGTTGATGGCGGCCACAAGCAGTTGTAAGGCAATGAAGCTGCCATCATCTCGCAACGTGCTGACACGGCGCTGAGAGAAGCCGACCCTGCTAGCCCACGACTCCCTTTATTCAGGGCAACATTGCGTTCATAGGCCTGCTTCCATGGCTTCAACTCAACGCATGCAGCAAAGGCAGCGCAAGTTCTACATGTCACAGATAGCTAGTGGTGTCCGCCTTCCTGTTCACATGGTTCGACAGAGCATTCTAAGCAGGGCATAGTGGCATAGGCAGCCTGTATCTTTGAGAAACTGCTTTCGAATGCGCAGATGACGAACGTCCCGCTTGGTCCTGGAGGCCTCCGTTTGCTGCGGCCGCAGCTCTGTTGTCCTCAGTGCTTGTTTGTGCGTCTTTGGGCTTGGAACTCTTTGCGTGTCAACTAATCTCTTCCGCGATTGCGAGTGCTTTTTTTTCACATTCGGATGAGAGCCTCTGCGAAGCTTCATGCGGGAGGATGTTTCCGCTGAAGGCTGCATAGAATCCTCCAGGCCGTGCTAAACACGGCTATACAAAGACCCCATACAACCTTAAGCTAGTCCGCACGCAGACACGTATGTATGTATGTATGTATGTCTTCACGAATGTATATGTATGTATGTATGTATGCATGCATGCATGTACGTATGTATGTATGTATGTATGTATGTGTGGACGTATGTATAGATACAGGGATAGATATAGACATGGACACAGATATACATATACATATGGTATAGATATAGAATATAGACCTAGATATCTTGAGGATTGCTGAAGACTGCCGCACTTTCCGGTGCAAGCCAACTCTCGGAGCACGGCTAAATGCAAGCACTTTTTGTGGGATGAGGGCAGGGTCTGGAGTGTTTTGGGTGCTCTTCGATAGGGCTTCGACAAAGGACTTTTTGCAAGCGGCTGGGCTGGGCTGCCGTGGGCTGGGGTGTGGGCTGTGGGCTGTGGCCTGTGGGCTGAACCGTCCCCCAACCACGTCGAATGTCCCGAAACAGTTCGGAACCGTCCCAAACGGTTCCGAACCGTTCCGAACCGTCCCGTACCGAGCCGTTCCGAAGCGTCCCGTACCGAGCCGTTCTGAGCCGTTCCGAACCGTCCCGAACCGTTCCGATCCGAAGCGTTCCGAACCGTTCCGAACGAATCGAAAGGCACTGGGGGCAGCCATCCTAAGCATTCCCAAGCTTAGTGGTCCGGCCAAAAGCTGCGGTTCGGGACAGCTCTTAATTGTTCGACGGTTCGGAACGGCTCGCGGCCCGGGACGGTCTCCCGGGACGGTCTCCCGGGACGGTCTCCCGGGACGGTCTGCAACGGTTCGGGACAGTTCGGACGGTTTGACACGGCTCGGGTCGGGACGGTTTTGAACGGTTCGGAACGGCTCGGAACGGTGCAGGGTTCGGAACGGTGCGGAACGGTTCGGAACGGTTCGGGACGGCTCGCGACGGTTCGGAACGCTCGGAACGGTTGGGAACTGCCGGGACAGCTCGTGCTCAGAACATTCGGAACGGTGGGACACGGTTCGCAACCGCTCTTGGAGCAGCCTCACAGCAACTCATATTCGGTTCTCCTTGCACCCTATTGATGGCCACGGGGGGCTAACCTCGTTACAGTTGAGTTAAGCATGCCCAAACCTTCCCAATAGATGTAGGGACCTTTGACCCACCAACGCGGCAGCTGCAGCTCAGCCGGCAGAGTCCAACCAGGCGTCCCAGACCACTTGCCACTTGAGACAGGAAGGATTGAAGAGACACCTTTCATCACATGGACCCTCAGGGGTTTAGGGTTTCCTTACCGTTTAAGGGTCCTTATGATTTCAACACCTGATTCGACCAGCCACCGTTTTGTTGGGCAAGAGGCTGGCACTACGACTTGGGCCACCGCATTTGCATCACGGGGCTGGGGGCGAAGGCGACCAAGACCCGCCTCCAGGTGCCTCTGCAGACCATGCGAATGGATTGTCCTTGAGTTCTGGGCGCATCGTACAGCTTTTGCTACTTCGCCGATGGTTCGCTTCCATGAGCTTCTGCGACCTCTTTACCAGGGTATTTTTGGAGGATAACTGGCCCTGGGCATCTTAGACTCTTAAGTTCCGCTTGTGATCTGAAGTGGCAAGGCGGCTTTTGGGGATTACGGCCACATCATCAAGATCGAGACGCCCCTCAACGGGACGGCAGTCCACGGACCAAGTTTCCATGTCTCCGATAACATTTGAGGCTTTGCGGTCAAGTCTTCATGTACGTGTGGGCCCTGGGTGGCTGGCCCAGGTGTACATCTCCTATAAGGACAAGCGTGATGCTGAGGACCGTGAAGTGGACTTCCCAGTGGGCGAATTGGCTCTTGAGAAACTTTTGCCTGCGGTGCCAGGATGCAGTGAAGTATATGGATGGGGAGAAGCTCGACGGAACGAAGATCACGGTGTCACGGGCTGACAACCGGCCACCAATCAGGTACCTCGCCTCTTTGTATACAGAGTTCTGACATGACAGTGAGCACTGTACCGCTTGTGGCAGGGGAAAGAAGGATGAGGCTGCGGCCCCAAAGAAGGCAGCAACAAAGCGAGCAGTAAAGTCACGTGTTGTTCCAGGGTTCCTTAGCATCTGCATGGGATTTGTTTTGCCGACAGCTTGTTACTGTGTGCAAGTGATTTCCATGGGCCAGGATGAAAAGCGAGAGGAGGAAAAGGAAAGAAAGCGGCCGCAAGCTCACACATTCAACCTCCTTCCACGAGTATCGCGAGCTACTGTAGCCTACTTTCCGAGCCTGAAGCAAGGAGCTGAACCTAAGGCACGAGCTGTTTGTGATGTTTCAAGTTGATGAGGCCAGACACAAAGCCCGCGCCTCGAGAACGAAGCAGAGGCCTTTCCGAGGGATCAGGGGCGGGGGAGGGGGTCAAATCAGAATCGAAGTGGATGTGGTCGTCGTCGTTGTGCTTTTTGCCTCCTGCAGACTCGCTGCTGAACGATTCTGTCTTCTTCGTACACGTATTCATCCAGCACAGTTTGTACACGCCCTCCACCCTGCACTCTGCATGCACCTGCACGGGCGGAGCTTCAGAAGAGGCCGAAGCCATGACATGGCCAGGCCGGGACCGAGACCGCGACCGAGACCGCGACCGTGGAAGGCGGAGCCGCCGGGTGAAGCCGGAGCCCGAGCTTTGCGGGGTCGGTGAATGAGTAGTAAGCACCGCCGCACCATCGGGGATTCACTGCCAAAGTGCTGTCATCGTTTTGTCGTTTTGCGATGCGCGCACGCTCTGCCATGCAAAACGGGGTTTTCGGTTAGTAATTAGCTGCTTCCTCGAGAACCACCATCCTTCTTCATCTAGCAGCCCTTCTGCACTGAGGTCCAAGAGCAGTAGCCGCAGCCGCAGCCGGAGCCGACGCAGGTGAAAGCCCAAAGCTCAGCACAGAGTTTTTGGGAGTGTGGCATTCTGGTGTTTCGAAGGGCCCTGGAGTATCCCAAAAGCGCCCCGAGTTCTAAAGCCCCCCCGAAGCTCCTGAGCCAATCGCAACTCTTGAGGCCTGGAGCGCGACCTCCCTGAGCTTAGCTTGGGAGTCTGGGACTAGGACTCCTTTGGCCCTTAGCTGCCATAGCTGCCGTAGCTGTAGTTCGTGCAAGGCTTTGAAAGCCGCTTCCCTTGGCGAAAGACTCATTCGATTTGCTCATGGGGTTGGAATTCTTTTCTGCTCGTGGACGGATTTCAATCCCTACGTTCATGGGTTCACGATTTATGGAAGTCCGGCCATCGTCGGCGGGACGCCAGGAAGATTGGGCTGCCCGCATGTTCACACAGACTCGCTGCCAATGACGTGCTGCGAGAAAGGGCAGGGCTGCAACCTGCAGGGCATGGAAGTTAGTGGTGTGGGCGAGACAGGCCGCAAGACAGGAAAGCTCATGCTGAGGCAGCAACAACTGCAGGTTTCGCAAGATTGGCTAGCCTGCAGTCAGAGGACCTCGTAACCTTGATTGCATCATTCCTCGTGACAAGCCCGACGAGGCCCCGGGATGCTTCGCACCCGCTGAGCCGCGAGCACAGCCGGTAGCTGGGATGCGCTTGCATGACCACGTTCATCATTCATTTGGTACAAACTCGCTTGGCAAAGCTTGTCAGTGTCACATCTACTGCCTTGTTGTCGTGACGCAGATGATTCGCCACCATACACAGCGTGCTGGTCTCACCCCGTGCCCTTGACGATGCATGCGCGATGAAAACATGCGCTTCCACCTGCCCTGCGCAGTTCCCACAGTTCTCGAAAGTCGGCTGCCGTGGCTCCTGGTTTGTTCCCTCTCCAGAGACTCCAGAGACCAAGACCCGCGCAGGCGGCGGGTTTTCGCGAAATGCCGTACTGCTATGCATCGATGGACAGGACCGTCCGCAGAGAGTCGAAGATTCCTCCGAGGAAGTTTAGAGTTTACTGCGATTCCATCCTGCTCTGTAAGCGTTCTCGCATGTTTCTTGCAAGAGATCTGTGACGGCTGAATTCGTAGCCGCACGTGTGCAGTCCAGGAAACCCTTGATGCCCTATACTCCGAATGCCTTTCGCTCTCGCCTGGCCGCCGGCTTCTCAGAGCGAGGGCAGGGGTTTCCAGCCAGCTCTGGACGGTCCGGTCGCGAGGTCGATGATGCCCCGGTGCCCTACAAGAATGCGTCCACCATCGAGTTCAATGACGGCATCCACACCTGCCACAAGAGAAGGCTTCGCTCCAACAAGCACTGTCAGAGTGAGTATCACCAACATATTCCGCAGATCAACTTAGAGCTTTCTGCCGAGCATATATAAATGGATAGTGACAAGCAAGAAGTAACCTGCGAAGGCTCAGATGCGCGACCTGCAGACATGTTCTGACAACAGCAAGTCCGAATCCAACAGTAACGAAGTGCAGACATAGAGCTGGAAAACTGTCTGCTGAAATCAGAATCGCAGCCAAGACTTTGATCGCGGGTGTGGCCATAAAGCTTTTCTTAATGTGGAAGGTTTGGCCGTTAGCATTCAGTGGCTGTGCAGGTTCCAGACCACCAACGCAACGGTGTACACGGGGGAGCCTTGCGATCCAAGGACGTGTGCGATGTGTTGCGATGTGATCAGCGCATCTCGGGGTTGGCCTCTTCCATGCGATGCTAAGACTTGCTGCGTCCAGGAGCAACCAGGGTGTGATTGCGGCTCAGACGCGGTTCCGCAAGTTCATGCAGGCTTGGATGGGGAGCTGACAGTTCGAGTTTGGGCTTATTCTGCTCGGTTTGCTTCCTCTGATGCCAGGCGAAGTGACATGCTAACCATCGGAGGAGGCGCCCTGCTACTTGCTGCTGGTGGTTCTGTGGCCGTCTGCAGGTGCCTTCCCGTCTCACTCCCTGCCTTTCACACTGTCCAGGTCGTTCTGGTGGTCTTGTAGCGTATGTCTTGTTGACGTCGTTGCCTCCAATTGACTGTGTGACGTTGTCTGCAATGCTTGCACTTGCAGACTCGGAGAGGCGTGCTCAGCAGAATGCACTTCAGTGGGGTTGACGGCTCACTTTCAGACTTGATTTTTTTTGGCAGCTCTTGCCAGGATTGTCCAACACATGCAGTTTCGCCGGTGAACTGCCGCTGCTCGCTGGTAGTTGAGCTTGCAGCCTGCAATCTGTCAGATAGGAGAGACAGAGGTTGCATTGCGACCATCAGCGTGGCTGATTTCGGTTCACCGTGAAAGTTGTTGATGTTGTAGCTCTCCTCGCTGATGCATTCAATTAGGTTAAATCGCGGTAAGGCTTTAGCATATCGGCTCCAGGGCTCAGGCATTTCATCTGCTGTTGTTTGACGGTTCCTGACAAATCTGCGACATGTGTCTCCTGCCTGTGCGTGACCGATGCAGCATGTCCTTGTCATGACTGCCGCTGGACTACGCAATGGATCATGACGTAAGTAATTTGTGCAGGCATGCTTCAGGCACGCTTCAGGCAATTCAACAAGCTCGGCTTCATGGTACAGCGAAACTTGCTGTGCCTTAATTGGCCAAGGCCTTTCATAGCAAAGAGGATTTGAGTGCTGAGAATCTCCCAGCCCAGGGTGCGGGTGCCTGCGTTTTAAATAAACGCCTGAGCTCTGCTGGCCAGGAGCAGAGAGTGGCTCAGTCTTTCTTGGCATGGCTTCGCACCTGCACCTTGCGCTTTTAGCTCGTACCTCGTCGAACATGCGCCAAACACTGGTGCTATGGCGAGATCTAAGTGGCAGGAGAGAGAACACGTGCACCTCTTGCGGCTGAGTTGTCAATTAAGCAGCAGACATGCTGACATGTGCAGGGCACGGAGGAACCTTTGCAGGATGGGAGCCATGCAAATGCTGAGGCCTTATCAGCCACCCTCAAGCAACATCTGCCCTAATCACTTCGTGACAACAGGACAGCGTCAGCAAGCAGCAAGCCATCCCTAATTGCCCAATTCCATCGTCTCCCACTAGCTGGGTAGTTCTCTAAATCTAAATCATGGTCCATTTACATGTCCCCAAAATAATACCGCACCCTTATAAAAAGGACCCTAAAAGGGACTCGAATTTACAGAACTACCCCCATGTCTCAAGCCGAAGTCAACCAAATGGGCCTCCCACCACCCGGCCCCGAACTGCATGCGGGCCTCTTTCGCGACCGGACGATCCGGGAGGCAAATCGCAGCTGATGAGCAGCGGAGTGTCTGGCTTGAGGGATTTTTGATGGGCCTCCTAAACCCTAAACACTAGTTTAGAAGCAGTTTATGATGATCGTCCGGGGCTAATCTCGGCCAGGTGGAGATCGCTCTGGAGCAACTGCACAGCTTCGAAGATGACTACTCGTCAGAAGATGGTCGCCAATGTGCTTTGGAGGCCGGTGGATAGACTCCAATATCCCTTAGTCAAGGTTACATTCTATTATCGTAGGATCCCTAACATGGTTTAGGGCATATTCCTTCATGAAGGGGTCTTGGAGTCCTTCGCAACTTCCGATTGGGTGTTCCGAGGATGGCTTGCCACAGCGTGGATGCTGCCTGGGGGTACCTTGTTGTCCTGAGCAATACTTTTGCGAGTCATTGTCTTGTTCTTAGACTTATGTTCATTGTCATTATTGTGACAATTACTGCTATTCTTGCCATGGTCATTATTACGTTAGTATTGAGATTCTTAATAGTATTCTTTTTTCATTTTCATGTTAATCATTATTGATGTTACTTTCAGATTTATTGTTGTCATTAGGGTCATCGGTGTTTATTCTTAGTATTCTTAATGTTACTCCCATTATTATTGCTATGACGATCATCATGAAGATGCTTATCTGGGCCCTCATGATGGGGAGCCCATGGTCATAGGACCCTTAGGGGGGTGGGGGGGAGGGGGATTTGGGACTGTACTTCCTAAAATGGGCCTTCTTAAGTCCTTATTCTAGGTATTATATAAGGCCCCCTGCCCCCCTTAAGGGTCCTTATGAGCAGGTTCTCGAGAAGATGGCCGACTACGTGGTCGACCGCGTGGTCCTCGAAAGGACGGAGGTGGGCAAGGCGGTGCGAAAGCTTGCGATCCCTGGTCTGCGTGGACATTTATTACATTTTGTATCTAATACCATACTCTTCTATATTATACTTTTCATACTATGCTATGTAATACTGTACCGTACTATACTATGCTACACTACATGCTTATGCTTGACATTAGGTGCGTGTGGCATGTTCAGCTTTAGAGGCGCTTTGTGGGTTCGTCTTCTGGCATTTGTGGGCTGCCACGGCTCGTCCCTGTCAGAACGCACGAGCTGCAAAGGAAAGTGCGGGATCGAGAGATCGCTGCCCGAGCACGACAGCTGGTGAGAGAATGGAAGGAGCCTTGCCGGTGTGGGGTCTTGCGGGCCCTCTCTTATGTGAGCTCTTGCTGTGTGCCGCAGACATTTGGACATTTCCTGTGTAATCGAAGGTTCGTGAGGTGTCGATGAGCAAGATGTGCTGGGTAGTGGTGGCAGGAGAACCTCGAATTTCGCGATGTTGCCACGCCCCCGAATGCCATTGTGCAGTGCACCGTTTGGTCGTTGTGAAGCTAGGAGTTGTCCAGCGGTTTCACTGGAGACTTCCCAAATATCCCCAACCGCTGTCGGACACTTCAGGCCGTCAAAGGCTTCGGAGAGAAAGGAGGCCTTCAAAAGACGCCCGGCACAAACAGACGACCCGCAGATGCTTGCCAAACCTCGAGTCTCTGCCTGTTTCCCTTGCATTCTGCCCCTGTTCGGTAACAGTTGAAGGATATTATATGTAGAAGGGACATATAGACACAGAATTTATACATGAGGTCCTTATATATTCGTAGCCGTATTATAGACTGTTACTGAACGGGGGCAGTATTCAATGTTCCCCGTTCATCTGAGGAGGCTCTGCAAGGAGCTGGAAGAGGCAGGCCCGCTCAAGCGCGCAGAGAGGTTCCAACGTCTGTTGCATCATCTGGGGGTTTCCAAAAATAGGGGACCCTAATATAGAACCCTAAGTAGTAGGATCCTTACAAATTAAGGTACCCCGGAAGCTCCCATCTAAACTGGACAGGCGTGGCAGCTGTAGGTTCTGACCGTCTTTGAGTCTGGCTCTGCAAGATCCAGTGAGATGCATTTTGGAAGAGAGCTCTTTGGGCAGGGGCTCTTCAATCACTGTTGCCCTCTGGGCTTCCTCGTGGGAGAGGAGAAGAAGAGCTATCTGAGACACTACAAGAGGTGCGATTCTGGGTCGGCAGTCTTTCAAGATCTCCCCAGCCCGGCAGCACACCTGATGCTGCAGGCTCTGCACGCACCTGCGAGCGCGCGGCTCCGACAGCTTGGTGCAGAAGCTGGCAGAAAACCAGTTCTCTGCACTTCAGGTCGGTGAGATGCTACCATGGCCATGATGCCATCCCCTAGAAGCACATTGGATGTGTCATCATCCTTTATTCGCACATTTGGTTTCAGCATAGATGTGCCTGTGGTGGGAGCGCACCTGGCAAGGTGGCTGCCCTTCCGGACGCGGCTCTGCAAACGGCCGGGCCCGCGCCATCTTTCGTAGTGAGGGATCGCAGGTTCAGGATGCCCCTAAACCCTATAAACCCTAAACTCTGGTTGTCCCATTGTGGTGCTACCGCTGATGGGTTGCTTGGGGCTCTATGCTTCCGAGAAGGGCCCCTCGCCTGAAGTGCTCGACGAAGTCTACCTTAATCCGAATTCCTGAGGCATTCATGACGACAACAGGCCCTTTAGGACTTGACTAGTCAAGATCAACAATGACCTTTTCTGGACAGGTCAGAAACGCTCTCCCAAGGCCTTTGTGTGACCTGGGGAAGCCCGACTGCGCAAGCAGAGAAAGGCCAAACATTCCACCCTGGAAGCTCCGGCACCATAGTCTTCAACTTGTAACCTCAAAGTACCCTGATGATGCCTGTATTATGACCCCATTATGCTAAACTTATATTAAGGAGTAGAGGTAACTATTATGACCCGCAGCAACCACAGAGAGCCTCTTGCCAGGCAGAGCAGCGCGAAGCGCAGCAGAAAGCACAGGAGATGGCTCTCAAGGAGGGGCGGATTTTTGCCCCAGCATTTTTTGCCCTAAATAGGGGAGCCCAATGCAGTACCCTAAATAGTACCAGAAAGGATTGGTGTGTGGGCCGCAGAAAAAATTAGGATCCTTATTAGGAAACTCCCATATGTTGAATCTGCCGTAAGCTTGAATGTGGCAGCCGCAGCAGCGGTGATTCTTTTCGGGCCTCAAAGCAGACTCTGGCGCAGGAGGCAGTCCTGACGCCCCCGGAGCCGCCACCGGCAGCAATTACGGAGGCAGCGTGTGCTGCCATGCTGCAGCTCTGTAGAGATATCCATCGTTGTAGGCGGCAGCATGCAGCCTGAACCCTAAACCCTAAACCCTGAAGGGTGGAGGGGATTGGCTGAAAGCAAACACTACTTTGATGCATCTTCCGTCTCGTTGGTCTTCAGTTGGTCTTCAATTTTAGTTGCTTTTCTCACTGACTTCGACTACTCCAGGATGGAATCGATGTTGTTTCACCTGTCTCCATCTGGTTCCGCTCCAGGACTACATAGAATTTGAAGTCAAAATCGTCGCAGGACTACACCTGCCCTCGCTGTAGTTCACACCGCTGCTGCCGCAACGAGGCTCGCAGCATCTACAGAACAAGCTGAGAAGAGTCCCAGCAAGCCAATGCCATCTGTTTTTGTTCGCTTCGCTTCCGTTCTCATCGCACCAGTCTGTTTTCCAGTGCTACTGGTTGAAGAGACCGCTCATATTTGTGAGATCAGGTTCAGACTGGATGGCACAATGATCATCAAGACCCGCCCCTTGCCTGTCATCGTATTTGTGCAGCGCCAGGCACCTGAGTATATGAACGGATAAGAGCCCTGTTTATGCCGAATTGTAAAGACTGCCTCAGGCAAGGGCAAGCAATAGCACGTTTCTACAGGTATAGATTCTAGATACATGGAGTACAGGCCTACCATCCAATGTATGGCAAATGCAGCCGGAGACTGCACTGCAACTCGCGTTTTCTCTTGCGATTTCTGCCTCCTGGCTCAGGACAATCATCGTGACGTGCTTGAATTGCACCTCGACTGGAACAGCTTTGGCTTTGTTCTACAGCAGCCTTTGCATTGCATCCATCTCCTCGACTCTTTTTTCCTGGGCCTCAACAGTTACAAATACTACTTTGGGGTTCCTTACTATAACTATAGTATAATATCCCCCAAAACCCCATTCTAATTTGTTAAGGCCCCTATATTATAGTACCCTTGAAGTAGTCCTCATAGTACTCTTTTAAATGACCTCTGTAAAGGACACCTCTAAAAGGAACCCTATTCTAATTCTTGAGCGATTGTGCATTTGGGCTTCAGAGCTTCGGCTGTGGAGAGAAGACGACCCAAGGCGGGCACCGGTGGAAGGAGTCGGACGACCACGGCCTCGCGAGCTGACAAAAAGCCCCAGTCTTTTGGAATCCTCAGTGCTTCTAGTATGAATACTAGTAGTATTAGTGTCAATATAACTATAAATGTACGTGTGTAAAGTAAGTAGTATGGTGCATCTGGTGTTTGTGTGGTTCTTTGTGCCGAGATCCCTTTTTTGCATTGGGCTTCTGGAAGTCCTGGCCTGAGGTTATTTATACAATATAGTATTGTGCATGGTATTATAGTATCTTGTATCATATGATAGTATCATATTTGGTATTATCGAATATAATGTCACATATCAGACAAGCCCTCTTCTAATGATTCTAACAAGGCACGCTTGAGGCAACTTAGGCCTTGGTGCTGTCAGCTGCACGACCGTCCGACCGGCTGCGTTTGCAAGGGGCTCAAAACCCTTTTCTTTTGGCGGCGCCGTTTGACTTTGTTTCAGAGCCAGGGCCGTGCGGAGCTCAGCTTCGTAAGTCGGCTTGGAAGTGAAGAAAGTCACTTCCGATGCAGTGAGGCCAAGATGAACGCCGGGCAGGCCCGTGTCGGGATTCCGGCTCCAACTCTGCACGAATGGTTAGGCAGAGGGAAGCAGACAAATCGCTTTCGTTGGTGCGCCAACGAGACGTTGTCACCTGGCGTTCATGGCCAAGATTGCCGGAAGAGGTAACGATCCTTGCCTCGAGAGGTGCAGCAGTTTTCGAGTGCACCGCAAGCCGTCGGAGCGCGGAACAAGTGCGCTCCGCAGACTGTGACATCTTTCACGAAGCTAACGGCAAATGTTAAAGAGTCGTACGTCTGAAAATTCGACTTCAATTCAAGACCTTGCCATGGTATCATCGTGGCTCCGTCGTGTCAGGTACAGAGATCCAAATGACACAGGAAAGGCTCATGGGAATATCATGTGACCCGGGCTCTGCAGAAAGTGCACCGCAGAGTGTCGAGTGTAAAGGATTGGTACTGCACTAGTAGCTGGATTTCCCAGTGTCCACATGGTCCATGATGTACATCCTGAGCTCTTTGAGAAAAGCCTGCGCACATGCACATGGGTGGTTGTCAAAATTATGGTCGCTTTTTGGGTACCTTAAATATTAGGTGCCGTATTATAAGGACCCAAAAAGGGATCCTATATAATTTTGACAAACACCCACATGTGCACTCTTTGGGAGCTAGGTACGACCGGCGGGTGGTTCGCGGCAACACCTATGCTGCAGTGGTCCAGCCAGAGCCAGACATGGCAGAGGCGTGTTCTCAGTAAAGTAGGCCTTTGACTCTTTTTTGTTGAATTTAAAGCAGTGTTTTAGATTCAATTCAAAACAGTGTCTTACATTCAAAGCAGTGGCGAAGTTGCTGTAGCCTGAAGTTGGACGTACCTCTCTGAAGTTCTTGTTTCCCTGAACCTTTTTCCCTCAACCGGCGAATCGTGGACAGCCGTGGAGGTGCAGAAGCAGAGAGAAGCCCAGAGACGACGCCTGCAGCGCCAGGGCCTCATAGCCTCTGAGGGCTGAGTTCAGCTTGGATTCCACTAACACGGGATGCGCAGCTCATGTCTGCTTTGAAGATGGATGTAGGGGAAAGGGTCCGCGCCTGAGGTGCGAACCAGACGAAAAAGCGGCCCGGCACACCCGAAGCCGTTCCAGGCGCACGGACGTAGAACATCCTGGCGTGGCCGCCGTCTGCATTCAGTGCTGCCAAGTTCGAAAGAGTCCGGCAAATGAAAGACGAAACACTGGCATGCGTCAGTTTTTTTTGGACGTTGGAACATGCATTGTGATTGTAGTGGATTCTTGGTTCAGGTCGCAAGCATATGGACATCCAGACCGATTCGCCCCTTAGCTGGCAAGAAGTGTACACTCACTGCTTGATGACCGCTGTTTACATCCTCTGGAGCGTGCTCGTCTGCAAGAACAGGCCGTGTGAAGTCATGTGGGGGATTGTCAAAATTAGGGTTCCTTGTGGGGCATCCTGAATAGTAGTTGCCGTATTATTTAGGGACCCCAAAAGGGACGATAATTTTTGACAACCACGCATTTGCCGTCTTGGCCAGGTATCTGGAGAAGCTGACAGATCGTGTCGTCGAGTTTGAGGTTGGCGGTTTGCTCTCGGATGATGGGGTGAACGCCCCTCCATGACTAACCAGCGGATGGGCGGCATGAGACACACAGTTGCGATGTTTTGTGGCTTGAAGTTAGGAGTTGGGACATGCTTATTCTGCAACATTGCATTGATGCCTGTGCAATCGGTGCTTTCTGCTCCAAAGCCCAGCCTCTGTGGCATTGCAGGCGCAGGACAGTGATCATCACTCGAAGCTCGGAGCGCTCAAATGTCTGGCAGGCAGAGACACAGACGGACTTTATCCTCGATCGCCCACCATCGCCGCTGTTCATGCCTGCCAAGGTGGGGGAACGTGTTGAGCGAGAGTACGTGGAGACACTCTTAAGCAAAGCGTGGTGTGATGAAGACTCAGCGATGACAATGCTTCCCTGAGATTGGCATCGACATCGAGACCCAGATCGAGGAGCTTCACACACCGTGGCTGAGACTTCCCGAAGTCCTCTTAGTGTCAGGATTCCTCTGTCTCCTCTCCAGGGATTGGATCTGACTAGCAAATGCGAGGAAGGGGTTGCACGGACCTAGGTCACATGCCCATTGCGAACAGCACATACGCAAAATTCGGGCGGGGAGATGCGTCTCATGTTTGCGGGTGCGTGTGGGTTCTGTAGCTCAGACAGAAGCTAAGTCGAAAAGTCGTATCAGTGCAACTTCTTTTGGAGGGCTCCAACCAAAAGCCTTCACGAGACCATTTTCCAGGATGGAGAGCTGTTCGACTTCGACGTGGAGTGCGAGCCGGTTCTTGAGGCTCCAAGACTTCAAGATCAGTGAAACGCGCCGTATCGTCGCGCGGAAGTCCAACCCTTGCGAGATCGCGTCAACCTCTGGGAGTTTCCGAAAAGAGGGACCCTAATCTAGTTCCCTGAAGAGTAGGGTCCTTATTAAATAGGGTCCTTATTATATATAAGGACCCTAAAATAAGGCACCCCTAATTTTCGGAATCTCCGATCTCATAATGCCATCTGAAGGTCCTAGTCGGCAAGACTTTGGAGCAGAGCATGATGGAAGTTCTGGAAGAGGAGGAGCTGGCGAGCCTGCAGAGGTCGCGACTTGCGTGCACGGACACCTCGAGGGTTTCGGTCATGCCATCTCACTGCTGATGTTAATCCAAGAAGTGGACAGGCACCAGGAGGACTTCGAGAAGCGCCGCAACGCGGAACTCTTGGAGGCTCTGCAGTCTGGGCCTGGCAACCGAAGCAGCAAAAGCAGCCTGTCATGGCCAGGTGCAGCGGATGGAAGCCGCCGAAAAGCGGCGTGCAGACGAAGTCCAGCGGCGTGTGGCGCAGCAGGCTGCTGGTGTGATCATGGGTTTTTGCGGTGCTTTCCGGTTTGTAGTTTCGCAGCCGAAGTATCCCGGCTTCTACTGGAAACGTTGGAAGCCAGCCCTTAAGGCAACCAGACCATATTGTGCCGCTAGCCATGAACGAAAAGGAAGTCCGTCGGGTCGATGCTTGTCTTGTGTTTGAGACTGCAGCTGCAGCTGAAGCTCGTAGAGGAATGCCGGATGTGTGCAGGCTGCCAGGCACGAGCAGGACATCTGCACCATGCGGAAGGCAAGGCACTGTCGAGGGGAATTTCGTTGTCTCATCTCTCCTGGGCCGTTTTGCACACCTAAGCCCTAAACCCCTAAGCCCTAAACCCCCACTTCAGAAGTGCAAGATGCGGTGGAGTTCCAACAGAGATGAGTGGAGGTCCTTGCTCGGCAGATCGCGTCAGAGCACCTGCAAGGCTGGCTGCCGAGTCGCCTTAGGTAAGAGGGGGGAGGTCACCTTTGGGCCCAATGCCCTAAACCCTAGTTTAATCACCCTAATCCTAAACCCTGTAAACTGTAAACCCTAAACCCTGCACCCCTGAGTCGAAGCATGGGCTCTTCGTGGTTTTGAATAGCCCTGAAGAGCTGGAGGCCTCAAAGGGCGCCTGTTGCAGAACTTGGAAGATGCGGCCGCTGCCTGAAGGGCTTCCTTGCGGGACTTCCTGAGCGGATCTTCTCTAAAACCTATCAAACCCTACCCTAAACTCTAAGCCCTATTAGACCCTACCCTGAACTCTAAACCCTACCCTAAACTCTAAGCCCCAGGCCCGAATCGTGACTGCTCTGACTGAGGGCGTCTTCGCAGATGTGGGCAGCATGGCAGTGGAGACAAAGTTCATGCCGGGACTGCTCCAGGCCGGCCCAGTTCGAGCGAGGGCTCTATGGCAGCTGGAATCACCGTCAGGACCATAATGAGTGTAAATACTATAACTATGACTATGATTATATCGGTAGTTACTATAGTTGCCGTAGAATACTTTGAGATACTAAAGTTTCTATAATACACTCAAAGAATCGTTCAAAGCTAAACAAACTCCACGCATTGAGGCCGTAAGGCCAGCAGCTTATGGCATCCGGAGCTTGCCACTACCTACAGCTTTCATGTGGTGAGGCAGTGGTGCAGCAGATCCAGAATTCCACGCAGGAACATGCATTAGCCGCCTTTGCCTCGGCTCATGAAACACGTTTTTTGGAGTTGGTCAGATGAGGTCAAGGGCTGTGAATGGCTGTGATTGCCTGCCGGGATGGGAGATTCCGTGAGCCGATGTTCAAGAGCGATGCCCTGAAGCCGCTACCACCGCTACTGAATCCACTTTGAGAGTCAGTCACGCAGACCAGCTCTTCTGTTTTCTCTGGGGTTTGCCCTCAAGCCCTAAAGCCTAAAACTCTAAACCCTAAAGCCTAAAGCCCTAAACCCTAAAACTTTAAACCTTAAAGCCCAAAGCCTAAAGCCCCAAACCCTAAGCCCTAAAGCCCTAAGCCCTAAAGCCCTAAGCACCGCGAAGCCACACCAAGGATGCCGTCATCTCCTCGAGCGTGGATTCGAAGTCCACGCCTGGGCATGTGCTGAGAAGTTTTGGGATGTTCCTTTCCTGTCTGTATTTTGGTTCTACTATACATATATACATACGTACTAATATATGTATGCGTATATATATATATATATATATATGTATGAAATGTAGAAAGCAGAACCTCATGTTCTACCTGTCTCGGTCATGGTTTCGCAGAGGAAGGAGTGCAGATGATCCCGACACGAAGCAGGGGCAGAGGGAAAGTGCTTGTGGAGGATGCGTGCCCTTGCGGTTTTGAGCAGCGCAGTGTATCAAATCACAGGAGGCGCAGTCAGAACAGATTTGGCGAATTGCCAGTGGGTGGCTGCAGTGTCGAGGTTTGCGATGCCCCTCTTTGTTCGCCATTAATTCTTCAATAAGGGAGTATACCTTTTTTATACTACCATATGTAATGTGCTACATACTGTACTAGAGCATATACTTTTCAAGGAAGGAGGCTCTATTTAAACTTCTGGCTTGGCCGGGTTTGTAGATGCGCCCTTTCACCCAGGCTTCAAAAGCACAGCGCCGTCCTCGAGATCGAGCGCCGGCGTTTGGCACTCATCGACGAAGCCGAGCGCCAGGCCGTCAGTTCTCTGGATCCGTGCGGGACAGAGCAATCTAGAATGTCCATTCAATCTCGGACTGCGTGCGAAAGCCTCGTTTCTGGCCTTAGCTGCAAGCTCATGCCAGGCGCGAGAAGAAAAGCAAGAGGTGCGGTACCGTAGTAGACCTGGGTGCCTACTCATGGGACCTGGCAGCGGAGCCACATAAGATGTTGATGTGTTTCTCTCTTACAAGACGCGATGCACTTGGGTCATGTCTTGCGGCTAGATTCCTTCGAGCAGCTTAGAGCCCGAATCAACAGAGAACTGCCTTGAAGGCGCTGGCAAAGAAGCAGGCAGAGGCAGAGCTCATCAAGCAGCAGCAGTGGGGGCCTCGGGGGGTGAGCGCCAAGTACCACAAGGGATGCTGCTGGGTTCGATGAGGGTGAACGCAATGTAGGCTTAGCTCGCCAAGTTACTGAGCAAAAGCTCCTCGCGTCACGGGGACCAGTCTGCAGCAACATCGACGACCACAATGTCGGCTGCAGGCATTCGTGCAAGTTTTCCGACAGCCCAGGCAGATGATGATGGAGTGGGAAGCATTCATCCCCGACCCACCTCCCGTGCCGGAGGAGGCAGTGGTTGAAGCCAGGGCCAGGGCTGGGGTGGTTGACTTACTACAACTTACCATAGTATTTGTGGTATGCTTGCAATGATAGGATAGTTTTCAGGAGGTGTGGGACAGCAATCCGACTGCGTCTTCGTCCTCTGATTGCTTTGCTTCTCGTTGTAGGCCTTTGCACAATCTGTCTACCGCTTCAGTGCTACCAAAGCATGGAAGAAACCCTTCTCAGCTCCTTGTGCCCACGGCGCAGTTTGAAGTGCTTGAGATCCGCGCGGAAGAATTCCTTGTGGCGCGGGGCTCAGCACCTCTAAAGTACTGATGTGTCCGCAAGGGCAGGGAAGATCAGTAGATATTCGGGTGTTAGATGGCTGTGTTGAGATAATTAGCGGCGTTTGGTAATCAGACGCAAGCGGCCGCCACAGAGATGCCGGAGGTGCTTTCTGACTAGACGGGAGCGATAGTGTAGCCTAGGGGCTGTGAAAGCCTTCCTGGGCTGTCGGTTCATGCTGCCCAGGCGCTGGACGATGGCACCGTGGCCTCGATCACCGAGGACTCCTAAGCTAAAAAAGGGCCATGGGTGCAGTGGTCAAAAGCAGGGTGCCAGGTTTGGTCGGTTTGATTCCTTCCGATTGCCGCTTTCCTGCTTTCCTGCTTTCCTGCACCTTCAGGAGCAACTGCCTTCCTTGCAGGAAATGCCGGCCACCAAGTTTCTAGCTTGGGGAGTGGCTCTCCCCACGTCTGGCGGAATTTCTGGGTCACTCTACAGGGGAAGCTCTTAAGTTGGTGCTAGTCTCCAGCTCCATGTGACCGTGGATCGCAAGGTTTGCCGCAGAGAAGGAGGAGGGCATGAAGTTGATCGGTAAGCCCATCTCGGTGCCGCCACCTGAAGGCCCAAGATCCCTCATGTTCCTGGACTTCCCTATTTGCATCTTAGCGTAGCGTAAATGACCATAGCGCCATAGCGGCTCTATTAAGGGCACCACCATCTGGGGAGATCAGATGACTTACCCAAGCCAGGTTCTTCTCGAAGTTCAGTCATGCAATGCCTGGGGCTTCGGCAGCGTTTCCAGACAGTTCCGGAGCGAATCATACGGGGGATGCAGGTGTATACAGTGTGAGTGCCACAAGCACAGGTTTGCGGCTCGCTCCTTGTAGATACGAGCAGGGACACCGAAATGCATGGCCACTCCGTGGCAGGTGAAGAAGGCGAGCCGAAGATCGTTCTGGAAAGCTTCAGGATCGGAGTGCCGGGAGAAGCGCCACCGGGAGAAGCGGTGGACGCAGGCCCGATCAGCCCCTGGGCCCTTGTACACCCTGGAGACTAGCACCACCGGCGTGTAGAATCTGAGGGAATGGTAGCACATGAGTTGGGCAAAGGAGGTGGTAATACTTGTGGTGTTTCCTTGCCAGGGACTTCTGCTCATTGCCGTTGCCCGCCTTGAGTTTTGTTTTCACGTAGCTAGCAGGACGCAGCACCTGTGCCGAAGTCGTAGCGCAACCCAGAGTCTTGGACCATACGATGAATTTCGCAGGCGTGACCGAAGGCGGAGAGGCGGCGTAGTGCCTCAGGACCAGCGCTAGTCTGTCCCGGTGCTTTGTGATGTCATGTCATCCTGTGACTTTCTCGATGCCTCACCATCCAAACCTTTCCCACAGCCGGATTGCAGGACGGTGCTTGAGAGCTCAAGCACGGGTTCACCGCTCTCGCGAGCTCAGCCGGATGAAGGCCACTGCAGCGCCTTACGGCCTTGCGGGAGACAATTCACATCTTGACGGGACGATCAGTGGTCCAATGCGCATCCGTAGGGTGCCATATGCACTAACCGCTCTTGACCAGGCCATCCCAGCTGAACTTAGCGCAGGGTGTGCCAATGAGGCGCGCTCGGCGCTCCGAAGCTATTCGGTTGTATCCTGACTGGAGCGACTTCACAGCTGGCGTGTGTCTTGCAGGCTTCTGGGACGCTTCCAAGAAGCGGGTGTTGCTTTGGGCCGCTCAGAGATGCCGAGAGAAGAAGACACTGTCTGTAAGGGCTTGGCTCAGATGAGGAAGGTCACATTGCCACATGCTGTTGCTTACTCCTGTGTGCATAATGCTTTCCAGCCGCCTCATGTATTGACCTGCCTACATTGAACCTGTAAGAATCTTTGCATCTGCATTTTCGAGTGCAGGCTTGACTGCATAATGTAGAGCTAAGCTGCCAGAGACTGACATGTGAGGATCTAGCATGCAAAGGCTCTGTCTATAGTGCGCTTCGGCAGAGTATCTAATGCCTTCTAGGACCAAAGCGATAGCGACGGATCGGCTTCTTTGCGTTCCAACTGTATGTCGCCAGCCTCGTCTAAGTGCCCTGACAGAAAATCTTGCTAGTGTAGAGCCGATGGCTCCTTCATGGTGCAAGCTTAGACGAGACTGCACAATCGTGTGGTGCTTCTCAGCAGCTTCAGTTGCTGGCAGCTAGGTGCGGCTTCACGAACAGAGTCTTCAGGACAAGGCAGATCGACAAGATGTTTCAAGCTTGCGGGGAAGTGTTGCACGAGGAGATAACGTAATAAACAAGAGAAACTTGTCAAAGGTAGCTTGGGGGCGCACCGAAAATGGAATCTGTAAGTGCTGGTCGCAAGATGCGAAACCGGCCAAACAGACCTCAAGCTGCGGTCTCACCGAATTTGAGCTCAGCGATGTCGAGTCCGCCCGAGACTCCTGTCCAGAGGTCGGGGCAGCGTGGAGCAGCATCACAAGCAGCTCCTATAATGGTAATTGTAGCACAAAGCTGAGATGGACATGTGTCAACAAATTGAGGGATATTGCAGACTTGCACGCTCAGTCATGCTGCGGGCTCTCGGCGTCTTGGCTCAGTGCTGAGATGTGCATTGCTCCTTTAACTTCGCGTGCAAAAGGTTGTCCCTTTCATGTTCACCATGGCTGATGTTGGCGAAGTGGTGCTGCAGAGGAGCTTTTGGGTAGGGCTGAACGGTCTTGTTTTGAGATTTTCTTCTAGTGCAGATGGATCAGGAGGGACAACTCCGTCTCTTACATGCTGCACAGTGAGATGTCTAGGCTCCAGGCCTGACGCTCGAAGCCCGAAGCCTGACGTAGAAGCGATGGCTGGGGCCTAGGGTTGAATCTGCTTATCCTCGGATCGGTCTGGCGTCTCGGCTCCAGCAGAACAAATCCATAAATCCCTGCACAGCGCTTCTGAGATCAGGAAGGCCTGGTCCGACTTCCGCACACCCTGTACTCTAGCTCTGGAGCTCTGCGTCATCGCCTCTCTGCGCTGGGTGGAGACCTCCACTGCTGCAGGGATGCCGGGTGGTTTTGGGTCCTTGGAGGAGATGCGGAAGAAGGACCGGCTCGAAGGTACATGTGTTCTTGATTCGTACCGTGTGTTCGAAAGGAGGAGGAGGACAAGAAAAACACCAACAGCTACGTGGGTGGAGATAAAAGGCCGCGGTATGCCGCAGTATCAAAGGTTGCCAACTGCAGTGTAGCTCGAGCACGGGAGAGCGAAGAGGGCTGTATATTGATCTCTTCCAACAGCTTCCCTATGAGAGAGTCAGAGCGCAGCAGCCGTGAACGGATCTGTGTAGAGCCTGGTTCAATATTGATAATTGCAGCTTCTTGCCCAGTGGCTTGGCGGTGGAGCACCCGGACTCGAACAAAGACCACTTCCAGCGTTCCTCGCCTGCAGGGAGGTCTCGTTCGTGGCAGTTGCCCTGTGAACCCGAAGCTCTCCAGGCATGCAGCAGCTCGCGTCGAGTAGCGGCCAATCAGGTGCGAGTGCTTTGACGAACAACTTCTGCAATTCTGTGGTGGTGCCCAGCTCTATGATACCATCTAGGATCGTTGGTATGCATACTCGGACGAAGCCTGGGATTGGGGAGTGTGGAGTCCGGGAGTGGAGGTGGTGGTGACCCCGTAGAGTGAGAGGCTCAATAATGTCTTGGCCTTGGCATTGAAAGGCCCGCTCCCTTCGGATCACCGAGAAGTCACGGTCTACCGCAATGGCTTCACAGCCATGAGCTGAGCTTTTTCTTGTGGTAAGAGACATAAGGCTTTCAGACACGCAGCTGACACCTTCTTCTGACTTCCTTCCAAGTTATTCCAAGGTGGGAGATGGACCTTTCCGACCCCTTTCCGACCCACTGAACAAGAAGTTCATGGAGCGGCAGCTGGGTCAGTGCTTGAATCCAGGTTGTTTCTTGAATGAGCCCTGAGCCCTTAAGCTGCAGCTGCAAGCTCTGCAAGACCCTTCTGAGGTTAGCAGTACTCCCAAACTCATGCAAGCTGTGCAGTGCTCTTAGAAGACACATTCTGCACGACAGGACGAGATGGCTGCAGGGCGCTGCCCGGCCGAACTGCAGGCACCGAGGGAGATTGCAGTGCGCTAGGGCAAGCGCCTTGGGGCTTCGTAGGAATCACGTGGCTGTGCAAGGTGTGAAGCCTTTGCCGCCAAGACCGCAACATGCCCGTCCTAGTATGAAAACGTGCACCGTGTTGGTTTCTAACGAGATATCCAACCTCTACTTCGTATGAGAAGCACTATCACAACCTAGAGAACTAGTACGAAAATGGTACGGAGATCTGCCGTCTCTCTCAGAAGCCGCCCACTGCCCTGGAGCCAGGCAGGCTCGGACCAGCCTGTGCACGTCGCTGTACACGACAAGCGCGGAGAGGACTACAAGGAGACGAGTTCAAGACTTTTCTAAGATTAAAGACCCTTCTGCCTGCTGTTTGAGTCTTGCGTCCTTGAAGCCAAAAGGTGTGAACGGTGTGTTGGTGGTTGCCCGCAACGCGCAGGAGCCCCCTCCTCCCTCCTACGTCGCATTCTCCGGTGAGGCGGTGTAGAGTGAGAGGGAAGCAACATGCACGATTGTGCCGATGACCTTGGCTGCTCGGTGGACAGTCGGGGGCACTTGGGATTTACTTGCCACGAGCGCTTTCGCACATTCGGCAATTCTTTGCTGGTGCTCACCCCCGGCTGCGGAGGGCAACACGTTGGGTGGCAGTTCATCCTCGGCAGCTGCCGTCGAGGCACAGTGACCCAGGAGTGCTAAGCATGGCAGCCTGGTGCAGCGCGCTGTTGCTTTTAAGGCAGGGATGGCTGCCTTTTTCTCATACAGAAAAGGGTTACTGTAAGGGTTACTGTACGGCGGCACTTTTCCAACGCATGTCAACATGCCTCCGTGCGCAGCCCATGATACAGCATTTCACAAGCTCAGAATCATCCGCTCACGATGGTCATCTCAGGCAGACAAGGGGTCCATGACAGCCGGCGACTCAGCACTCAGATAAGCGTTTAGACGAGCAAGACAGACGCCTGGTTGGCAATCATGTCGGACCTACCTGCCATGCGATGCATGTCAGAAGACCATGCCGGACCGCATCTGCTATGCTGCTTGTTCAGAAAGAAGACTCGCCGCAGCTTTTGCTAAAAGGCACGCGTGCTCGTGTTTGACATGATAACACACCTAAGCTAGAACTCCCCCGGCTACCTCTTCGCACCGTGCAATCTTCGAATCCAAGTTCCACTCGCACAATTTAGCAGTATCGCTTGCGGGCACTTGAAACACGTCGCTGCAGCATACACACGTCATCGCACGTTCCAGCGGCTGCTTCGGCCACGTGCCTCGGTCGCATTTGGAGGAGAAGAAGCCCGAGATGTTTTGCAGCGGCCAGTCTCCAAGCCACACGATCTCAAAAATCCCACTCATCAACGCGCAACTGTAACCTCAATCCGACTCAACCCTGTGACCCTCACTCCAAAAAACTCCGAAGAACGCGGCGGAGGTGTGGGCGCCATGGTCCTCGGGCGGGCGATGGGCTCCCAGCTGCGCCAGCTCATGGCCGGGCACCTCAGGGACGAAAGAGAAGCTTCGAGTCCCCCTCAGCTGGCGGAGATGAAAAGTTGAAGCATGCTGAACGGTTGAGGGCTTAATGTATTAAACCAAATGTAGGGCCGACAGAAGTCTGCAGTCAGCCCAGAATTGCGCAGAGACTTGAAGAGCTTGAGAGCCTTTTGTGCTTGTCGGGGTACTTCATGGGACTGCGAGGCCAAGGAGTGCGTGGCCCTCCCCGGTGCCTACAACGGCCTCGTGGCTCGCCTAGTGGCCATCCACGGCTTCAAAGGCCGGAGCCCTTTAACTTGACTCCGGCACTCGACGTGCGCGGCAGATCGATCCTTCGAAAACTGAAGACAGTAGTCAGATCTCCAGCTCGCGTTGAGCCTGGACTCCAACGTTGATGAGTACCGTAATTGCCCGCTCGCTTGGTGCAGGGGCCTACTTCTCCGGCGGTGCCCTCTCGGCCAGCTCAGGAGTTCCAGACATCGGCCCTTGCCCCACAGGAAGCTCCCAGGAAGGGCACAGACTGGCCTGGCCTGGCTTCTGAGGTCTGACTTCTCTGGACCAGTTCTCTTCCAGGACCAGCCACCTACCAGAAGTCAGAAGCACAGCACCGTCACCACCACCAGCCTTTGCAGGATTAAAGAGGTGGTTTCCGTCTCGGACCTGCCCTTCATCGCCGATGCCGACACTGGATTTGGCGAGGACGGGCTGCGACGATTGGTCCCAAGCTGGGAAGCTTCTGAGCGAAGGCTGAGATGGTACGGAAGACCGTGGAGGAGTACTGCTGGGCCCGAGACCCAGAGTGAGCAGAGGGAGGTCTCTGCGGTTCGGTAGAACTCACGGGAGCGATCGTAGCAAGGAGCTTTTCATGATCTCCATGCTGAAAGAGAGACGGTGCCCGAGGCGGGAGCTGCTGGACTTCACATCGAAGACCAGGCCGGGCAAGCGGGAAATCAGAAAACACGACGAGTGGAAGAGCAGGGAGAAAGGGGCCCCACGGTATAGTGGTCATAAAGGGGCCAAAGAAGAGATCTGGGATGATCTCGCAGCTTTCGAAGCCGAGAGAGGTCTTTCCCAAGCGATGTGGCCACCTCGACGGCAAGGCCTTGGTCCCAATCGCGGCTGCCCCAGCTTCCTTTGCCTAGACCAGTTTTCTAGCCATGCCTCCATCGTCTGCTTTGTCCATCCCCGCTATGCAGAATGTTTTGCTGATCGAACTTCCCCTGGCATCCGCCTGTCTGCGTCCGTCTGTCCGTTCGTCCGTCCGATGCCTGTCGTTGCACCTGGAGCGCGAATCCCCTGGGAAGCAAGCAAGGGACAGACCGATAGATAGGTCGGGTCATGAGGTTTCACCCTGCGCAATCCCAGGATGTCTTCGTTGAGAAGGTTGAGCGAGCTGCAGAAGCTTCGTCCATTCCTCATCACGTGAGAGAACCGCAGATTGAATGGCAGAGTTTGCTCATGAGATTGAACATGTGGTCGCCGCTGTGTTGAGAGGCCCATTGGCGAGCTAAGTGCTTGCTGCCACGAGCCTGGTAGAAAGATGCAGATGCTTGGCTCCTGAGGCAGAGGTGCTCAGATGGCGAATTCATAATTTGCGCGCGCACGGATGCGGCTGGGGTGCCGGACCCTTGGTGCATCCTCTCTGATGTGGACAGTTGGGGCATGTTGGGTGTGTTTGTACCCGCAACCACATCGGATTCAACGCATTCTTGCGCACAACAACACCACATCGTGTCTTTGCAGGCCGGGTGAAGGCTTGCAGAAAGCCATCGAGCGTGCGGATGCCTTGGCGTGTTTGCAAGTCTCAGCGGGCAGACTCTCATTTGACCCTTGCAAGAGTAGAACTTGGAGCTTTCCCTCCCCAACTGCTCTCCCACTGACACTCAGAGGCCACGGCCTACGTCGCAGCCGGAGCTGACATGATCTTTCCTGAAGGTTTGCAATCAGAGGCCTCCTCGGGCTTTTCTGGAGCTTCAGTCCTGGCGCACCCTGCTGCCTTCGGGGCTCCCACGTGTGCAGGAGGACTTTCGCAGCTTCGCAGCGGCAATGAAATCATTGCTTGGCCCCAAGCATTCCGATCTCTGCAAAGCGAAGCACCGACATAAGAAAAGAGTTGTCGACCCGACTGCAAGATGCATGTTGCCCATATATATATATATATATATATATGTATGTATGTATGTATATATATATATACACATAATATACGTAATATATACTATATATACCATATATGTATCTCTGAGGAAGGGACCGGCGCCAGACGGAGGCCCCTTCCTGCTGGCCAACATGACCGAGCGATCGCCTCAAGTTGCTGTGCAGTTGCCTCGCCTGCCCGATTTTCACCAGCTAGCAAACAAAGCTTCTGCATGAAGAACTGCATGACAGCTTAGATTTGAGAGTATCAGACATAGACTGCAGCACCCCGAGGTTCGGGAAGACTCCCTACCTCACCCTGCAGCAATTCCAGGGTCTGGGCCGTCTTCTCAGCAGCCCGAGCTTGATTGATTGGAGCAAGGGGCCATCAGCTCGAGGTTATCACTGCGTGATCTACCCGGTGAGCACACTGAGGGCTGCCATGCCTTGCCCTCAGAGCCTCAGAGTGTCCAGCTTGGCGTGCTCAAGAACTGATTCCGACAGGAAAGGCGTTGATGAATGCTTGCAAACTCTGAAGGACGAGCGCCGAGGGGCATTGGGCCTGGGTCGTGGGTCCAGGGCTGTCTAAAGAGACGGTCTTCTTGTTCCCGGCAGGGTTTCTTCGGTTTCGCCATAGTCACCACCAGCCAGCGAAGCAGACAGTTACGTTTCTTGTCACGCTGCATTGCCCTTGGATTGGGCAATCGTTTTGAGCGCGAGGGTTGGTATTACTGGTTACGTTCTCCACGTGAGAACACCCCAAATAAACACACCGACATTCCCAAGGAGTGCCATAATACAAGCCCTCACCAACCCCTAATACAAGCCCTTCTGCGTGACAGCTCGATGTGGGAGCTCACTCTTCCCCTTCCGAAAGACCTCAATCTCTGGCGCCGCACTCCTGCGCTTTTAACCCTAAACCCTAAACCATGAACTTCCCTGGATTGCGCTTGTTCGAAGGACACCGGCACCCTGGAGTCGTTCCTGCCGCGAATGCAGACACGTCCGGGACCTGAAGGTCTAGGAGTTCCTGCCGGGATGTATATAAGCGATTAACGTATACATGTAAATGTGTACACACACTCACACACACACACATATATATATACACATACATGTATATATGTGTATATATGTATGTATGTATATATGTATATCTATATATGTATATATGTATGGTATGCATATATATATATATGTATATATATATATATGTATATAAATATATATATATATATATATATATATATATGTATATATATATATTTGTCATTATAACGATTGCATCTCTGCGTGTATGTATGTATGTATGTATGTATGTGCGTATGTTTGTGTTTTAATTTCTATGTATGTATGTATTGCTTGAGGGGAAGGCCTCAACCAGGAAGATCTGAAGCAGAGACTGCGAAGCAAAAAGAGCTTGTTGAGAGCGTGTTCATGCATCGTTTTGGTCTCGGGAGTATAGCATCCCCAAAGAGGACAGGTGGTGCTCAGCTTGTTGGTTCAAATCTAAGCCCCTGTGGAATTCGAGGCACTTCAGCTGCCTCTCTTCCTTCCATTAACCCAACAAAGCTGTAGAACTAGAGATATCCCGACCCGACTTCTTCCTCTACCTCAAATTTCAGCAATCCGTTGGCACCCGCATAAATCTGAGAGCAGAGAGCAGAGATCCCCTGGACCGAGGCAAAGAGTTGTACGCTTCGATGTCTTACGCACCTCTCGAAGAATGGAAATATCCGCCTGACACTGAGGGGGGTGGGGTCCCGGAGATATGCTCTGCGCATTTTTGTATGTATGGTATTGGTTGATGTTGTTTGGTATTCATTACATTATGTTCTCGTAATAAATTGGACTGTATTATACTATGTTACTTTATGCGATGGTACATTACATTCAGTTGTGTTATATTCATCTTCATAATGGTTCGTATTGTATCAGACACCCTATCCTATGCTATTCTGTTCTATTCTATTCTGTTCTACGTATTACATAGTATATTGTACTACGTTATTGGAAGTTAAGTTGAATCATCGTCCAGGTTATGTTCCATTATATCGTCTTTTGTTGTCCACGATGATACAATGTTTCGGTAATGCTACAGTAGCATAGTATTTTCTACTTTATCATCTATGTGTATACACATACATAAACGTGCACATTAGTCTTCAGAGTGTGAAGTACGCTCCAGTTTTCCCAACCAGAAGCATTGCTGCTTATTTCTTAGCTCCGAAAGCCCAGTCAATCCAGTCCGGCACTAACAGCTTTACAGAGGCGGTAAGCCAGAGAATGCATCGAACCTTTGAGACTGCGCGATTGATTGCAAGGGTACTGTGCAAGACAATTCGTTCTGAATGATGGAACGGACATACACCCATCGGATGTTATGTACTGAGGTCGTCTTCTGGAAAGCCCTGAGCTTTGCGGTCGCTCTAGTTCGTTGACGTTTCGCATAGGCGTTGCTCACATCCACTTTTGCGGTGCACCACTCGCCCAAATCTGGAGCGGGTCAAGCCTCCACGCAACAATGCAGTGACCCGACTTGCAACAATATGGGACCTGACACTCTGCACCCGGGCTTGCTGCTACCCGTAGGCAGCGTTGTAGGCAGCTCACTGAGCCATAGTCAGATGTCTTTATGCTGGCTTTCCTGCCCTGTTTCCGGCGGAAGTCGCACGTTGTACAGAAAGCGTTGCTTTTGCTCTCGTCGAACCTGTCGCCACATGCCAGATGAAGCTGCGAACAGAAGAAGCTCTGGGCTGACTTGCAATGAAGGATCCCAACGCCAGTCTGACAGCCCTTTCAAATTCCTTCTGCGCCCTGCCTCTCCGAAGAGTTCGAACTTCAAGGGCAGAGTGCTGAAAGGTGGATGCTACGAAGCCGAAGACCAAGATTCAGATCCGCTTCCACGACGGCTCACGAAAGGCCCAGGAGTTCAACGAGGCCAGACAGCGGCATACAACAAGCAACAAGCAACCGCAGGCCCAGTCCAGCCTCACCGTGGTCATCTTCTCAACATCTAGTGCACACTCAGTCGCTTCTGTGGAAGCTTGTCAAGCGAGCAGGCGTTTCAGGCCCAATTGATAGTTTGTCTTGGCGCAGGTTGTCATAGAGCGTCCTTCTCCGCTTGCATGGAGAGAGGGGGGAGGGTCGGGTTGCGCAGGACCATACAGTGGGCGACCTCCGAGCCTTCTGTGCCCAGTGTGTTGGTGGGCAGGCCTGAAGGGGCGGGCCTGGCATTGGCAAACGAGCGTAGGTAATGTCCGAGTTCAGCCCTGAAGACATGGCATAGAGCACGTGCGTCTGCCAGTGAAGCCGGGATCACAGTACGAAAGAAGTGCCGGGCAAAACACGTCGGAACCCGGAATGCCTTGCTTCAGAGGCCATGACGATCATGGGTGGCTTCCCACCCAAGGTGGAGCCCCCCGGAGCTGAGTCTTGGAAGGGAAAGGTTGTAGTGCAGTCCTGTGTCATTTTCTGTAGCTGGGGTGGCAAGGGTGGAAGAAAATTTACGGTTCTTGTAGAGGACGAGATCATATCGGCGGTGCAGCAAAGTGCTGGAGCGGGTGTAGTGCCTGTTTCCAGTGTGCACTTGTCAGCCCATCGCCGACGACCAGCTCACCCTCAAGGATGCCGGATTGCTGAACGCTGCAGTCCGGGGCTGTGGGACACATCAGGAGCAAACGAAGGGCGTCGTAATGGTTTGAGTCTCGAGTGATGTCGGCCCTTCATCCGGTAACAGCTTCGCTGCTCCATCCTTTCAACAACCCACACCTGTGCCTGCGTCCGAGGTCACGGTCAAGCCAGCATGAAGCTACTGCGACAGGGTGCGGCTCCCTTCCGTGGTCTCCCGAGTGCAGTGGTCACCCGTCAGTTCTGCTCCTCAAAGGTTTTTGCATATCGGTTTCTGGCACATTCTTGGCAACACCAGCTTTGTCCTTGCAAGGTCATGCCGTCGCTGAGAAGCTCCAAGCAAACCTTGGATGCTCGTACTGCCTACGACTTGTCTCGTGACACTCTTGCGCGATGACTCCTTGAGCATTTGTTCGCACAAGCCTGTAAGCTCCAGCATAGCCTTTAGCGCTCCTCCTGGTTCGGGGTCAGCCGGGTGGAAATCTTCTGTTAGCTCTCGCAAGAGCGAATTGCGACGAGCATCTGTGCCTCAGGCACCACTCTTTGCACATAGCGCCTGTGGACAGTGGCCAAGCAATGCCAAGCACATGGTAGTAGAGATCTCGTATGCCATAGACAGACGCTACCATTGGTTTCAGAAGCTCATTTGGGTCCACCTCCTACTCAGTCATGTGTCCGATAGCATCAGCCGAGTAGGACTAGGGACGAGCATTCCCATCTCCATGCTGCCAGACACATCATGAATCATGGTGCATGCAAATGTACCAACACCTGACCGTGGCCGCTGCCGAACAGAACAGATGCAGCTGTCAGGGACTCCGAGTTCCGAAAAGAGCGTCAGGGGCTGTTTCTGTCCAGACTTGCCAGCCAGTGGCCGAACGCGCTCCAAGCTCTCAAAGCCTGGACTGTCTTTGGCCGTTGCGACAGCCGTGGCTCGAAGACAAGTTCTGATGCAGGGATCTCCGTCCACAGAAAAGCAACATGTGCGACTGTAACAGGGTAGCTCCACATCTCCTCGCAGAGCACTCTCCAGCAATACGGCACATTGCCTGCCCAGCACCAACTTTTGTTTTCGGTTCCTGCGTGCCAGAAGCCTAGCGACGTGCTGCCAAGGCGAAAAGGCGCTGCCTCCAAGCACAGGTCCGAGAAATCCTGGCAAGTCTCAAACCCTGTGAGGCGCTTGGTAGCCATGGTGATCCCCATGCAAACGCACGGGGCCTGGAAGGAACCCCCCCAAAATAGTATAAGTAATTAATCATTAAAGCCCCTATCGGAAACCGGGCCTCAATAACGAAAGATAGTTTTGTTTAGGATTCCTACTCGTTCTTGGGATTCCAAATCTGGCTATGCTTTCATGCACCCCCCCCGGATCCTGTTTATTTTGACTATCAAGGCCTCCCCATATCAGGGTGTAGGGTTCCGGATGTAGGATCACGTAGACGGATGTTGCGTTGATTGCTTATGCAGTGGAAAGAGCTAGAAAGCACGGCAGGACCCGTTGTTGTGGCCGTTTTGCCCTGGGTCGTTGAGCAGTGAAAGCAGTTATATAATTAGCCGCTTCCTCTCTAGCAACAAATCCATCGAACTGCAACGAACTCGACTCGATGGACTGATTCAGGCCTTTTTCGAAACGGATAGACCGTGGTCGACTGGATGCACGAGCCATGTCGCTTTCCAACGATTTGCAGGTTGCGGTCGAAGTAATCTGTGGACAAGAGCTAAAGGTAATATATCCGGGCCAGATCATCCAGGTTGCAGAAGATGGTGTCGGTGTCAGAGTGCGACTTCGGGAGCAGCGTGACATCTCACATTGGCTCTCCGCATCCGATCTGGATGCCAGCTGGATGGAGTTCCGATTGAGAGCCAGCACGTGGATTGTCAAGGAACAGCAGGCTGTGATTGCAGAGTCCTCCCACAAGGCGAAGCATGAGGCTCAAGTAACGGCCAAAACCGCAACAGACAGGCAAAGAACACTTTCGCGAAATCTTGCAGTTGCGGTTCTCCTTCTGACAGCTGGGGTAGCCACCATCCTTTTTCTAGACCAGATCTGGCTTCCAGTGGTTGCCGCCCTCCTCATGCTGACGGCATGCGTTGTCGGCCTGTCATTTCCCCTGCGGTATTCGTCCATGAGCTGCGATTGCTTCTGTTGGAGTTTCACATGCGTCGTGCAGAAGACTGCATTGGTCAGTCTTGTTTGCTCGTATATTCTCAGAGGCAGTGAGCACAAATCATGCCGGTGCTATTATTTTCCGAGAGGCATGATTCAATCTACCGGGCTCCTGGCATTAGCAGCATCTGGCGTAAGCTGCATCCGCTGCCTCTGGGGATCCTGCATCGGATGGTTCACCATCACTGTGGCAATCCTTGCGATTTGTCAGTTGTCCGTTGCTTTGTGGATTTTCTGGCAATCTTGGCTTCGCAATCGCATTCGGGTGAACGGGCGATGGCAATATCGAGCATCATACATTGGGGAAGTTTCTCAACTGAGAAGGGGCCAGTCCATCACGTTCAGAGGAAGCGTTTTGCCTGGAAGGGGCAAGAAGTGCGTGTGCTCTTGGCCAGGGAAATACGAATCTGCCTGGGACAACCTGGTTTGCGCTGCCACCAACGGCGACGTCAGTGCTGCCGTGGTCTTCCTGCCACAGGGATGCCATCTTTTTGGGCTTCACGATACAATTCCTGCCTTTGAGCACTTGCAGGGCGAGTGCTGGTGCATTCCACTCTACGGCGAGAAGAAGGCCTGGGGTTGTAGATGGTGGACCGAGTGGACGGCCAACATCGAGAAAGCAGTGAAATATGGAGCCCGGCTCCAAGTGTACTATTTCGAAGGCATGGTTGGGAGGGGCAAAGTTCAAAGCTTTGCAACGGCCGGGCAGGAGCATGTGCGTCGGGAGGAGCTCTGGACTCAGATGAAGGAGTTCGAAAGGTCCCAAGCCTATCAAGATGCGAGAGATGCAGGCCTGGACCTGCTCAGCCACGATTTGAGGACCGATGGATCTTCCCAGTATAGCAGGGAGAAGGCTCGCCTCTTTCTGGCACAGCTGCCTCAGCCAGAAAGCCGCCAATTCCTGGAAGAGTCTGAAGGATTGGGCAACTCCCAGAAGGCGGAGGTCGCCTGGCTTGAAAAGAAGGGTTATGTCTATGAAGAAGTGGATGTATCGAAATGGCTGGAGCCTCCTGTGCCTCGGGTTTCTGAAGAGCTGGAGCTCCAGATGCTGTAGCGATGAGCAAAAGGCCATCCAACCGAACTAGGGCTGTAAAGAACAAGAGCTCCATTGCATGAAAACTTTGCCTGCCTTCTTCTGGGCGTCTCCGAGTCGAACTGTTAAGATCTATTGGGCCTTTGGTGGCTCTTGGAGGCTCTTTGGAAGGGTGTAGGCTCGACTGAGACCCGTCAGACCCTTCACAGGAATCCCAGTAAAGCTGCCACGAAGCCTTTGAACCAGATGTATTTACGGTCGACTACTCTTCAATTGGGATTCAATTTTTTTGCTGAAACCCTTCCAAATACCAAAACCCTAAACCCTGAATCCGAAACCCTCAAACCTAAGCGCGGTTCATGGTCTCAGGGCTCCCATCGCCGAAGGCGCTTTTGAAGTTGACTTTGAATGACATGCAAGACATGAACATTCGCAGGCCGCGCAAAGTCCTGGCCGAACGCATCGCTGCCCATAAGAGCCTCAGAGGGCCTGGCCGTGCCGAGGCCGCAGCTCTCGGGGCCAATCCCGCCGCAGGCAGAGTCTGCCGGGATCCAAGAGCTACGAGAATGGAAAGAAACCCCGAACCACCGAGACATCGCATCTCCACAGACCTCCGTGGACTTCTGAGGCCACGAAGCGCATGAAATATGCCGTCATGGTGTGCCCTGCATGCTCTTCAACATTTCTGCTAGTGGGTGCATGCTGCGGTGCGTCCCGGAGATGTCAGTAATCGGCAGATGCACCCAGATGAATAGACAGAAGGCCGATCCGATCCTGAACCCCCCCGAAACAAAAACCCCAGAAAGCTGAGAAGCACCGACAGCCAGGGATTGGCCGTCACCGGCATAGGGCGCCTCCTTTGCGCTCTGATGCAGAACCTGCTTGCGTCGGACACCTCAGAGTCTCCGTTCGAAGTACGTAGAGACTACATGACCAATTGTTACCGAAAGTTCGGGACCCTGCTGCTTTTCGGGAAGTACAGTCTTGTGGCACTATGACCGCAGGAGACTGGCGTCTTTTTGTCTTGCCATGTTTGCACATGTCGACAGTCCTCCGAGGGCAGACTTCTTTGCAATCCTCAATGTCTTCATCGCCTTCTGCGCTGGCACCTTTCTCTTCAAAGAACCGGCCTCGGAGGTTCGAGCCACCGCGCTCCTGGAACTCGGGGAACGTCTTGGGGCCCTTGGGGGGCTGGGTGGGCCTTTCAACACATTGGCTGCCTAGAAGCAGCCGCAAATTACAGGGTTTGCTGCCACAGCTTTGCAGTCCCGATGAGATATCGTTGTAATCCTTAAACATCTATGATTCTATTGGCTGGTTGTTCTTACAACTATTGCCATTATTATTCGTATTGTTGTCCTTATTTTCATTACTGGTACTATCATGACCGACTGTTATTACTATTATTACTATTATGATTATTACTATTATTATGTATTTTTATTTTCTTACGATATTAACAGCAACCCCAAACCGCCGGAGCCCATGGCACTTTGGGTCGACTCAGGAAGATGAGCGATTCGCCAGCGCCTACAAGGCTTCCGGCAGCCATTTCTTATGGCTTTAGACTTCCGGTTGCAGTGCCTCGCGCTCAGGGTCGGTGGTTTAAAAAGGAAATGAATAAACACATGTGTATACATATATACAGACACACACACATAGGTCTATATATATATATATATACATATAAAGAAAGGCTAAACATGTTTCTGCAGTTTCGCATTGACACTTTTGATGTCCTTTTCGATACCCTTGCTCCTGCGATCGTCATGTGTTTCGGAGACCTGCTCAAAATTTCCTGAAGCCTGCTGGTAGCATTGCGCCCCGCCTATTCCACATTTCGCAATCAGAAGATGCAACGTTCCAAGGGAGAGATCCGTTCCCGATGCATATATATATATATATATGTATGACTCGTTTGCATTGCGCAGTGCCTGGCCTCCAGCGTGTGCTCCACATGCGCGGCTCAAGGCACGACGGGTTTCGCCTTGTGGGACTTTCCGAAAATTAGGGATACTGTACCTTATTTTGGGGTCCTTATAATAAGGACCCTACTATTTCGGGTACTTTAGGGTCCCCTATTTTCGGAAACTTCCATGTCTGCGCGGCGCAGGTATGGGTGGGCTCCAATGCCTCATGCCCTTCATGATGCTCTCTCTAGGCCAGGTTGGAGCTGTTTCCCAGCCTTTCTGTCTTACCGCAAACTGGTACTGCTACTACTCTGAGCCAAACTTCCTTGCAGTGAACTGCGTGCTGGACCTCCTCCTGAAAATGCGGGCCGTGCTGCCGGCAGAGTCTTGAAAACGCGTCGGTATGGGGTGATTGTTCTTCCAAGAAGGCACCGAAGCTGCTGTGCTTCGAATCACGGAGCTGTGTCGCCCTTCGCGCCTGGTATGCCAGATCGCGATCTTCCCATTTGGCATTTTCCTCTTGGCGAGCTGTGCGTGCCAAGGGGTCGGAGAGCTCAGTTGCCATGGCGCGGCTAGGGCTGGACTATGGCCAGGATTCCGCAAGAAAGAGGGCACACTTCTATAGATAGAGAGTGAACCACCCTCGTCTTTGAGACCGGTTGGAGTCTTGGGCATCCTTGTACCATTGTTCGTATCCCGTTCCGGACGATAGTCAGGAACATGTACAGTGCATGTCGTATAATTGAAGACCTTCCACAGAAATATCGACAGGGCACAACAGGACCGGACTGGTGTCGGGACGACAACGACAACCGTCAGGGCACATCTCGCTTGCACACAACGCAGCACCGAGACTGCTGCACTTTTTTCCGGTATGGCGAATATAGGGGCCTTAATATTAGGTTCCTTATTATGATTACCCCTTAACCCTGTTCTAATTATTCAGGCACCTGTCTTAACTGTTGCAGGCGGCGTGTTAACGCTCGTGCGTGTCATTTAGTGCCCAGGTGCACATGACAAAAAGCCATAAGGCCTCGGCGAATCAACGCCGCGGGGGCTTCTAGAAAGCATGCTGGAGTGTGGCGCTGCAGAAGTGCTACTGAGGTTGGGGCCTACAATGCCTGGGCCGTGTTCCCTACTGAGATTCCATGCATCACGGCTTCGCATTCTTGAACAATGATTCCTGTGAGTGGCAGTTTGCTAGAGCTGAGGTACAAGATTGCACGCGATCTGGCTCCTCAAGAGGGCACGGAGATGGGCTGCATCCTTGATTTGCCTCCTGAACCGTAGCGTTTGCCCAGCGTATGTGACTTGTCACTCCTAATGTCACGCTGTTCCGAACTGGAGTTAGGTGGTGGTGGCTTCGTACAAGGACGAGCAGCTCTTGAAACCGGGATAATGGGGGACGGGGAGAGAGGGATTGAGATTCGACAGTGCTGCCAGGTCGCGTGATGATGGTTGTAGACAGTGCAGTTCACTGACGCCAAACCTGGACCTAGACCGACCTGTGCATGCGACGGGCATGTGAGTGACACGATGCCCCGCATACAATCATGTCCCACTGCGCATTACATGAAAGAGTATGACTCAGAGTCTTACGGCGAAAAGCTCCCTTCTGCCCGCCACAAGGAGAGCAGGCCGGCTTAAACAACGATGCGCCCTCTTCCCAATCGCAGGCTCGCGCCTGCAGACGTTGAAGCATCTTTTTGTTGAAAGATGCAGGAGTTGCTGGGCTCCTAGGCATGGGGTCAACGTCGTATTCGGTGCATGCTTCGGAGGGAGAGAGCTTTGCCAGGGTCAGAGGAAGAGACGTCCGCGCAGACTTTGGGATTCAACACGAATGTGCTCTTTAAGCTGCAGAGAAGGTATAGTTGTGACTCCGTGGTTGCTTGGCAGGCATTCAGCTTCCAGCCATTCACCGGATCGGGGAACCGCCTTGGTCGCGCACCCAGCAAGCGAACGGTGTTCTCCAATGGAGGATGCCAGGAGCGCAAGCGTCGGACCGCCTAGCTGAGTCTGAAAATGACTGAGGTGGCTGAAACTCTTCTACATTCTGCGACAGGCTGCGAGTGAGGAAAAGGGCATTTGGCAAGAGGAATTCCAGACGAGTCCGATCTCAATCCGCCTGTTGCCGATCAGCATGGTTTTGTTGGCTCGCTCCGCCCATCTCCCCAAGCTTTGGCTACAATGCAAGCCAGCCCGACTCCCATTAAAATTCGCCGCAATCATTCATCTCCAGTGCATCACGTCTCTCGACACGTAACCCGCGGCTTCCGACAGTGATGCACAGGACCAGCGGCACAGAAGCCAAAGAGCCAGAAGTGTCAGAACCAGTTTTGGTTGGGGCCGTGAGATGGATGTGGCATCCTGGCTGTCTTCCCTTGCGACGCCAGCGGATGACGTGGAGATGCTCGGCAATATGGTGGTCGGCCGAAGTGCACTATGAACTCCACATCAGTACGACTCAGGACTCCAGAGAACCAGCCGGAAGGTCAGTGCGATGCAGCCGCGCAGCCGGAAGCTGAAGCCGTTCCAGCGCCTTTCTCTGCAGAAGGCTTCTGAAGCCAAGCTTCGAGGCCCCCAAATCAGCTCGGCACCCCCACGAAGCGCTGAAGCTAACCTTAAACTTTCTTGATCCCAGTGGAACCCTAAGGGCTCTAGGGACCCTGCCCTAAGGGCCCCAAACCCCCAGTCCGTAAGGCGGCAGAGAGGGCTTTGGAGGAGCTGCTGAGCGCCGGCTTTCCGAAAGCCCGCGCAGAGGCGGCGCTTGCTGCGAGCCACCGGGCCAAAATTCCCAGAAATGAGGTCGGTTGAGGCCAAGGCCACTTTCGCAGTTCGAGGGGCGTCGATGGGTTGGAGTCCTTTGGCTGCTTGCTCAGGCTTGCATATCCGTTCAGCACGTCATGCGGAGGATGCGCTTGAACGATGTGCTGAGGCGACGGTGATTTGGATGAGGCGATCGGCCCGCAAAGCAGTTTGTTCCTTGCCGATTGCGGCTTGTACTCTTCTGGAGGCCCTGGCCGCGCTGGCTCGGAAGCCTCAAGACGACGGCACCAAGCTCTCCGGGCCCAAGGTTTCCGAGAGGTCGGCCATGGAGGTGGAGGGTGTGCCCTGGTCTGGATGGGCTTGGCGGATCTGGATCTTGGCGGCTGGCAGTTGCAGGAAGCTTGCCTGCAGCTGAGGTGCAGTGCAGCCTCACGGATCACGGCGAGTTGGTGATGTCGGGCTCCCCAGACTCCCTAGCTTTGAAGGGTCGCAGAGATTCAGGAGTAGATCTTGAACATAAGCCACAGGCATTCGCTGAATGATCCTTTTTTGGGCCACAGGGCCACAGGGCCGGAGCGGCCAGATCGTTGCTTGATCATCGTTTCCCTTCGAAAGCGCCCTCCGAACTGCCGAGGTTGCTCCCTGGAGATTCCCTGCGCCCTGGACTGCTGGGAGCGGTTCTTGGTTTGGCACTGCATGGACTAGCGCTAGCTCCCGCATGTGCTTGTTTCCAGCCAGGCATAGTAAGATTTGGGTATGCAGAATCGCGGCAGGACCTGTCGTCGGGCGAAAGATGCTGAGCAGAACGACAGTAGTAAGGGGAAGTCATACCAAGCAGAGCGAGCAACTGGAGCTATTCCCAAGGAAGCCGGATGGTGGAGTCCTGTTTGATGGCATGGACGACTGGCTCTGGGAGCTCTACGAAGGACATCGCCCACGACCAAGTACCTTGCCTTGGTCCGGAAAGAAGGACAGAAGAGACGACAGAGTGGGAGATGGAGGATGGATGGAGGGAGGGGGCTTTTGTGCACGGAGAAAGAGTCCGAGAAACAGGTGGATGCAACCCGAGTCGGGTTCGGTAGACGCGAAACACTTGCCATTTTGATGAGGTCAGACAGCTCGCAAGACCGTCAAAACGTGTTGCTCTTTAAGGCATGTGCCCAAGAGCAGGAGATGGCTGAAAATTACAGATGCGCAAAATGTGCCAGCTCAAGGCTATTACAGACTAGAAACCGCGCTCGTAAAGCGTAGTTCTGCTGAGCTTGTTACAGCAGCATATGGCTAGTCTGGTTCACATCATATTCTTCAGTTTTTGATCGTCTTCGGAGAGACAGGAAGCACAGCACAGAGAGACTTAAACCGGGTGCTGTTGAAAGCACAGAAGCAGTGAGACGGTCTAGGCTGAAGTTTTTGCAGGCAACCTGCCTGCTTCGTTCGACACAGCAGCTGCAGTGGCAGCTCTGGAGGACGGGCTGGGGTTGTCGTCTTCATTGCCTGGCTTGCTGGCTGGACTTGAGAAAATCCGGACCTGTGCACGCAAGCATGCTACGCTTTGCTGGACCAAAGTGGCTACCACGGTCAGTTCAGTTGTATTATTACCACGGAAAGAAAGGTTCGGAGGTGTGTTTAAGTCAAATTGGCGTGCATAGCAAACTAGTGCAGAATGTGTGCAGTGGTTGTTAATCAAACAGATCACAACTTCAGCTGTTCTTTGTTTGCGGCACCCACGGCACCGGCACGAGCTGGGAAAGAAAGATGTTCTGCAGTACACTCGTCTTGCTTGGCCTCCAGGATGGAGCGCCATACGTTTGGGACGATTTCGCGAGCCTGGATGAAATCAAGGCAGCTGTGGGGTCTTCAGTTCTTTCGAGTGGCTCGAGCTTACAGGCGAACCTGCCCAGGAGGCGAACAGCGCCCTCGAGGACATGTTCCAGAGGACCGGATCCCCCGGAGGGCCGAGCAGACATGATCAGACAGAGCAGACATGCACGCGTCGCGCGTGTGTTTCGTGGGAGGCGGGAGCTGACGCGGGGTTCCAGCGGCTTGAACGCAGGGGCGTTTTGAACTTCATGGCCCGGCCTTGCCCCGGAGTTCCCAGGCCTCTGGGTCGACGAGTGCGCGGAAGGTGGCCACGCCCGAAATCGACGGGCTCTGGAGGCGTCAGAGCTCTGCGCGAGATGTGCATGACAAGAACCCTGAAATCAGGGGCAGCGCCGCGACGATGCCTGCGGCTTTTGGGATGTGCAAGGCGTGACATCGGAAACTCAGCTTCGGCTTCCGACCTTCAGATACGTTTCATGGTTCCTATAGAGGTACCTATTCATACTTCTAGGGGCACCAAAACTACAACCCAGATCTACTACCTGAAGGCGGGGAGCCAGCGCCGCCGGCACCGATCCTGCGGCTCTTCAAGCGCTTGGAGGCCGCTGCTGCCAGGCACGAGGAGCCTGGCCTCTTATGCCCGACAGTAGGAACAATAGTAGTAATGTTGATAATAATAGTTGCTACAGTGGTAAATAATACAATGTGTCAGATACTAGGGTTACTGCATGGATCACTGTGAAGGTTACGCTTGAGGGGAACGAGACAGGTTACTTCTGGGCGTCCAGTAAACCTAGAGCTGGGATGTGCGTCCTGCCGATGGGTCTTTCGACAAGGCCAACATCCCCAGAAAATTGACCTCCAAATTTATATATCCTCCTTGTACACGCAGTATTGTTGACATATATATATATATATATATAATGTATGGCAATATGTATTATATATATATATATAGATATGTAGAATATAGGTATAGTTTATAAAACAAGCATATGGCGAAAGAATACAATGTAAGAGAATATAGAACACAAAAATCTAGTACAGTATAGCATAGCATAACAGAATACAACATAAGAAAAGATAGAA